AGATGTTCTATCGAAATTTCCCAATGCGTTAAATTCTGTTCCCACGTATTTCCAAAAAGTCATCTCAAATGCATACAAAAGTATTCTAAAACTGTATGGAAAAATGGTCAAGCGCAAAACCTCGAGGTTAATAATTTAGAAGCCACCAAGCTATAGAAAGCTGATGCCATTATTGCAAAAGGTTTGAAAGGAAGGGAGATTAGAAGAACGGCTACCTTGTCAAACCACCAAAGAAGGGCAACTTGGGCCTCTGCAAGAACTGGCGTGGAATAATGCTCTTCTGCACTCCAAGTAAAATGCGAATTTGCGTCATTCTGTAGAGAATAAAAGGCGCAGAACTCCAAATGTGACAGGTTGGATTCGGGAATGGCAAATCATCTAATGGTCAAATTGAAACTCTACGCATCAACATCGGACAAAGCATAGAATGGCAGTCAAATCTATCTCTATCTCAAATTCATCCACTTTTAAGAAGCCTTCGACAGTGCTGACTGTGAAGTAATTTGTAAACTGCTTCAACACTACGGCGTGCAGTGCCCAAGTCTTTGTCAACCCCATTCAACAGCTGGATATGTGACAGTAGCACGTGTCAGGCGATCCACAACGGAAAACTCAATGAAGACGATGAAGTGGATACCGGAGTAAGACAAGCTGACTGCCTATTATCACCGATGATATTCTTAATTGTGGTGGACTAGATTATTCGTCAGATTGTGCGTGGGGAGTTAGAAGACAGGAATACACTGGACGACTGTTATGTACTCGTCGCTAAATTATTATTATGGACTGGTCGAGAATTTAATAGTCCTGACGCGAGAAGGCGGAAATCAGAAGACCACTAGGTTTGCGATGATACTTCTATTGTCCAAACACAAGGAGACGAAAATAAATGGTCTCACACCAAAGTGGTAAGTAAGTGAAGTGGTTAAGTAGTTCACACAAATTGTGAATGCGAATATATATAAATTTTCCAGACAAAGCGTGGGAAAAATCATTAGACAGTCTTAACATGAATGGCTAATTATAATGGAGTGTCGATCCAATTATACATAGCGAATATAGCAGACATGCCAACAACCATATATGGATATATGTCACCAAGCAACGGACTGTCAACAAACACTCATATTATATATAATATAAATGGAATACACATTATTAAAGGAGACAAGTTCATACAAGTGAAGTGGTCACAGACTAACCGAGCAAACAGAAAGAGAGACCAACATGCACACACACACATAAATATATATATGTGGATACATATCACCTCCCCTTTTGAGAAGATGGATGATTAGTAGGATGTTTACCTGGGGGTTTATCTGGGACCTTTGGGCTTGTTGTTGACGCCTGTCGTTTCGTCTGATTGTTGGGTTTGCGGCTTCGGCTCCGTCCGGAATTGTCTGACATTTTATGCTTCTTGACTGCATTGCATAGCGAATTTAGTGGGACATCAGCCAGATGCAAACGATCGAACCAATCAAGTCCCAAAAGATTTAAATCATTCTTCGTGACGTAACAAATTCCTGTGAATTTGGTATTGCGGAAGGAAACAGAACATTTGAGTTCACCAATTAGTTTGAGCCGCCCACCACAGGCGCTGACAAGAGACTGGGAAGTATTGGTGATAGGTGGTCTGCCAATATAATTCCAAAGTTTCTCTGATATAACAGTAATATCAGAGGCGGTATCTAGCTGCAGACGTGCATCATGACCATTCATCTGAAGTTCAATATATTTCCGCATAGCTGGTGTTGTGACTTGACAGGTTGTGCGTAGACTCAATGATCTTTTTGGAGATTTAGGACCAACATTTTGTTGAGCTTTTGCTGGATTATGATATCTGAGTTGCGTGGCTGACAAAAACCATTTTTATGACCGATGATTTGCACTTGCTGCAACGATGATTTTTGTATGGACAAGACTTTACAAAGTGCCACGCGCCACAATGCCAGCATGGTGATGGAGGGGTCTTCTTTGCAGTATTTTGTGAAGTTGGACGAGTATGTATAGATTTCCGCGGGACATTAGAAGAAGGTGGGTCAGGACTGGATGATGAGAGATTTTTGCTCTTTCGTAATGCACGAATATCAGAGCTTCTCGAAGGTGTTGATTCGACCAGGTGTGTGTCTTTCTGCAGATTAATCAGCCGTTGATATTCATCAGCTATGTCATGTAATGTTAACTTGGGATTTTGTTCTAGCTGATTGAGCAGTCGAGTTCGGATATCTGTGAAACGAGGAGATTGGAGACTGCATATGAGAATCAAGGCTTTGAATTGATCATCTGTTAAGGACCTGAGTCGAAATCTCTCACATTCTCGGTTGACTGTGCCAACGTGAGTAAGAAAATCATCATTTTCATTCATTGCCAGCTTGAGGCAACGATAACGTATACTGAATAATGAGGAGTGGTCTCCAAAATGTTCACGCAGCAGCTTTATTGTATCATCGAAACAATTGTCACGTGGTTTCTGGGGTAAAATTAGGTTGCAGTACCGTTCATATTCTGCCGGACCCAATTTACGTAGCAACACTCGCACCTTCCAGGCATCGTCTTGTGAGGCGAGATCAACAGTGAATAAATCCTCATAACGTTGATACCATGTGTCAAAAGTGACATTAGCCTCTGGGTCATAATTGAACTGTGAAATACTGTTCACAATGCCGTCGACAGATGGTAGCATGGTATGATTGGGATTGCTTGAAGGTGAAGCTGGACCAGTCTGTTGGTTGACGAACATTTCCATTAATTTCATTTGTCGTTCAAACAATAATTCCAATTTAGAAGGATCCATAGTAAATTGTTATGTTGCTGCTGCTGAGTGGTTAATAGTAGTTTTCCCCGTCGCCAAATTGTTATGTACTCGTCGCTAAATTATTGTTATGGACTGGTCGAGAAACTAATAGTCCTGACGCGAGAAGGCGGAAATCAGAAGACCACTAGGTTTGCGATGATACTTCTATTGTCCAAACACAAGGAGACGAAAATAAATGGTCTCACACCAAAGTGGTAAGTAAGTGAAGTCGTTAAGTAGTTCACACAAATTGTGAATGCGAATATATATAAATGTTCCAGACAAAGCGTGGGAAAAATCATTAGACAGTCTTAACATGAATGGCTAATTATAATGGAGTGTCGATCCAAATATACATAGCGAATATAGCAGACATGTGAACAACCATATATGGATATATGTCACCAAGCAACGGACTGTCAACAAACACTCATATTATATATAATATAAATGGAATATACATTGTTAAAGGAGACAAGTTCATACAAGTGAAGTGGTCACAGACTAAGCGAGCAAACAGAAAGAGAGACCAACATACACACACACATAAATATATATATGTGGATACATATCAACGACCGATAAGAAGACTCTAGAAGATCTGGATTTCACAGACGATATACGTCTAATGTCACACAAACTTGAAGACCTAGAGGCAGGCGAAAACCAACAAACTGGCTGAAGAGGCAAGCAGCGAAGACAGGACTGCAGGTGAACACAGAGAAGACGGAGGTGATAAAAATAATCAACGAACCACCACAACAACAGCAACCAGTACCAAACACCATCAGTGGGAGGGATTTAACAGAGGTTAGCTCCTTCACTTATCTAGGAAGCAGCGTTTCAACTACAGGTGGAACAGATGAAGATGTCAAATTCAGAATCAGAAAGGCAGGATACGCCTTCATCAACCTGAAACCAGTTTGGAAATCTTCCACACTCAGCATAAAGAACAACATTCGGATATCCAACACCAAGGTCAAGTCGATCAGTTCTCCTATGTGGATAGGAAACTTGGCGTGTGCGTCACGAGAAGAATTTCCAAGAGGTTGCAGAATTTTATCAACAGCTGCCTTCGCTCCATACTGAAGATCAAATGGCCAAAAAGAATAAGTAATAAGAGACTCTGGGAACAAACCAACCGTGAGCCGATCGCTCAGTAAGTCTGTAAAAGAATGTGGAGACCGTTGTGTAACATTGCGTGACAGTCCCTTGAGTGGAACGGAAGTCGGAAACGAAGAGTGGGTCGTCCTTATGAAGGTAACATGCAGGAGAGCGTGTGAGGAGTAGGTGAGATTATGGGCAGGCAGCCAGCCAAAGTGGACTGTAGAAAATAGGATATAGCTGAGATGCGCTTGACTGACTAAATTCAACATAGAATTTTGCACCGATGTACTGTGTTGATGAAGGCCTATGTTCTACTCGGAACCGAACAGTAGAATAATGATTATAAATTAAGGAAAACGATTCAATGTTATCAAGGGAAGAAATACGCACTGTGAATTATATACATACAAATGTATGCGCAATGAGGCATAGGTAGGTATATTCGATAATATTATGCATTTACAAAACATTTTGCAACAATTCTCAATCGCCTCTCCTTTGTATTCTACATTCGATTCACCTGAAGACGTTTTTCTTTAACTGTTCAAGGAAAAGAAATACGTCTTCACACTTATCTGAGATGAACAGTCTTTCTTGAAAATGCTATACAGTAATTGTACAAAGTTGAATAATAAGAAAACACCCATAGTGAAAATGCATTGAGTTGTAGTTTGATAATTTAGTTAGGTGATATACAAGGAATTTGTCTATATACTTGAAACTCGCTTTACTTATAGAGATTTCATCAGCTTTATAAAACAACGGTAATACAAGAAATGTAGGTCATAAGACAGAACACAAGGACACACTTAATTAATGAGTATTATTATTACTATTACCAGTTGTACAAAAGTAAGACAAAAATAACTCAGTTCAATGCGCCGTTCAATAATATGATATTATGTAGAGATAAATGAAAATACAAGTAAATAGAATGAGCACTGCTCAGCCACCAGATTTTAAGGGAAAATAACCACAAGTCAATCAAAATAATGACAAAAAACAATATCATTTTGCATAATACAAAAACCAAAAAAATAGATTTTCATAATGATATGTGACTTTTGTGCTTTGTTTTTTTTGCCTCTCATTATTATCAATAGTGTAACTGTAAAGAAAGATAGGCTGTTGCCTTGTAAATGTTTATACTGTTTACAGGTATACTGGACGAATCAATATTGCTCATTTGCACGTATTTCTAAAATGCAAAAAGTAATTTAAAACGTGAAAGGAGTAAGTATTATTATCATTTTTAGAAGTTGTTTACTACACAAATACATACATGCACACACAGACGCCTATGATCAGCTTCCGTCAGCTTGATCAGAGTGATCTAACCATAGAACGTATAGAACAGAATATTTCAGTGTCTGCATATATATGGACTCCCGACCGAAAGCTGCTACCTTGACGTGGTGGTCGGGCTTGAACACCGGAATGACCTAATCAAGCTATACCGGATGAGACTTATGTCTCTTGAGGTCCTACTATGCCAGAAAGGTTGTTTGGAAAGCGGTTAGACAAAAAGCAGCTACCAAATCCAAAACTATAACACAAACAAACTCACAAAATATCGTGCCGAATCGGCCTTGGCCCGGATTAACAACGACCGCGCTTCCTGCTGCCGTGTCACAGGGCAGAAGTGAAAAATATGCTACCGATACACACCAAACAATAACGAACAAACAAAAGCAGGCCGCGTGTGACCGGCCTCAAGCAGTTGTCATCTGGGCTCTGAGGTCACGCAACCAACTTCCACGGTGTGGGCATCCGGGAAGTAACAATCGCCCTCACAATCCGAAATGAGCACGAAACCTCTCTAATCCTCACTTATCTTTTTCTTCATCTTCATCTCTATCGTCTTGTCCTCCTTCCACTGATGCAACTCCTCTGCTTGATAGCTCTTCACTTCCTCTTCACTCTGTGTCCACTAAAAACGACGGAAGCCAAAAAACCACCACCGATAGTCTCCTAAAGCCACGCCACCAATTTCATATAGGAGCTTTTAATGTTAGGACACTTTGCCAAATAAGACAACAAGCATCACTAGCCAAGACTCTGGCGTCCCGAGCCATTGATGTATGTTGTGTTTCAGAAACACGCATACAAGACCCAAGTGTGGTTATTCACCTAACCCCACCTGGCCAACAGGATGAATCTGCAAAATTTACCTTGAGGGTGTCAGGAGATGCCACAGCCAGTTCACGAGGATTAGCTGGTGTAGGGATAGCTTTGAGTACTAGGGCAGAAAAGACACTACTTAACTGGATCTCAGTAGATAGCCGAATGAGTGCTGTCCGTCTGAACGGTTCAGTAAGAAGGAGAAAGGACTGCACTGCTCGCCAATGCCTTTTCGTAATCTCCGCCTACGCCCCCACTGACTGCAGTTCAGATGAAACGAAGGATGAGTTCTACCAAAAGCTGTCTTGTTTGCTGCGAAAGGCTAAACGCTCAGATATAGTCGTTCTAGCTGGTAACTTTAACGCTCAAGTAGGGAAATTGTGTCAATCTGAGAAGGATGTCGGTGGCACCTATGGAGTTCCGTGCCATCGAACTGACAACGGTGACCGTCTCCTACAGTTCTGCTCTGATAATCATCTGTTTCTTGTAAGCACTAACTTCAAACATAAGGAGAGACACTGTTTGACCTGGCGACCCCCATCATCAAACCAACGCTGGACACAAATAGACCACATACCAATAAGCTATCGTTGGCGTGGGTCGGTAGGAGATTGTCGCTCCTTCTGGAACACGTGTGTAGATACCGATCACGCACTGGTCCGCGCTCGGGTGTGCTTACGACTAAACGGACGAAGAAAACAGCTGGCGGTAAACCCATCACGTCCCCAGCTCGATCAGGAAACTAAATCCCTATTTGAGGAAGAACTAGCTAAACACACATCTGCGTTCGACAGCTGTCCTCACCCTGAAGAAGCCTGGAAGAATATTCAGTCAGCCATAGATACAGCTGTAAAAGCTGTGAATAAGGTAAATCCAAAGGTGAGTAAAAACCATTGGATCTCTACCGCCTCATCCGAACTGATAGATGCTAGAAGACTTATTCCGGCGAGCTCTGAATTCAATGAGGTGCGAAAGCTGCACAAAAGGAAACTTACGAAAAGTCTCCGCAAGGACCGTGAACAGTGGTGGCTGACAAAGGCGAAAGAGATGGAAAAAGCATCGGCGATAGGCGACACTAGGCAACTCTTTAGACTCATCAGGGAAACGGGTGGGAGAAGGCAAATCATAAGTTAAACAATCTCCGAGAAAAATGGCACCATAATTAGCTCCCAGAATAGACGACTGGAACGCTGGAAAGAGCACTATGAGGAGCAGTTTAATTTGCCCACAGCCACGCTCAACCTTCCGAACATCCAACACCTCCCTGAATGGGATATAGACACAGGTCCGCCGTCCCTCTAACTCAGGTTACTAAAGCTATCACTAGTCTGAAACGAGGAAATGCAGCGGGACTCGATGGAATGACTCCAGAGGTATTTAAGTACGATGGAGACAGTTTACTGTATGCATTAACTGAGGTACTAGACAGCGTCTGGGAATCAGAAGAAGTCCCGTCAGGTTGGTGCAAATCACTGATTATCCCGATATACAAGAAGGGAGACAAGTCTTCCTGTGATAATCACACAGGGATTAGCTTGACTAATATAGTACCTAAAGTTCTAGGCTCAATAATATTGCGTACACTACTAAGTGGTGCGCGGGAGGCACAAACACGAGAGAACCAGGCAGGTTTTAGACCAGGAAGAGGGTGTATTGATCATATTCTCACCATTCGACAGATTCTAGGACATACGCATTCTTACCGGCCCCCGACAATCATTATATTTCTTGACCTGAAGGCGGAATTCGATTCTGTCGACCTAGAGGTTCTCTGGCAACGCTTGGCTGTGATAGGAATGCTGAGGAAATACATTTCACTGACTAAGGCACTCACTCTACTCAAACTCATGCAGCCAGGTGAGGGCTTACGGCGAGTTGTCATCTGAAGTGGTGACGACTAGAGGTGTCCGTGAGGGATGCCCACTGTTACCAATTCTATTCAATTTCATCATAGATGTACTAATAGACTTAACCCTAACTCACTTCAGAGACTCAGGGATTGACTTGATACCAGGTTGGGAATAATCTCGTTGATTTAGAATATGCAGACCATATAGTCCTTCTAGGCGAGGACGCTGACAAAATCCAGCTGAACGCCTTGAGCTGCAATCTACGAATGTTTGACATGCGATTCGCTCCCGCCAAATGTAAGATGAAGTTACAGAACTGAACTAGACTACACTGACTCCTAGCTTAGAAATAGGAAGTGAAGTGGTAGAGCACGTTGACCGCTGCACTTACTTGGGAAGTACCATCAGCCCCATCGGGTTGATCTCTGACGAAATCTCAGCACGGATACAGTGGGCTAGTTTCGCATATGCCAGTTTACGCCGTCTCTGGCATAGACGTGACATCCGGCTGGTTGTCGACAAAAAGATGGGTGTACTGCTCATCAGTCCGCTCCGTCCTCCTTTATGGCTGTGAGCGAGACATGGCCATTGAGAGTTGAAGACATGAAAAGATTAGTTGTCTTTGATCATAGGTGCCTGCGCTCTATTTCCCGTGTAAAGTGGCATAATAAAGTGAGCAACATTGAGGTCAACAGTCGAGTGCTAGGTAGGGGGGGGAACCAATCGACGAGGCTATGAAATTACATCGACTGAGATGGTTATGACATGTGTTACGTATATCCAGCCATCGCCTTCCTCGGCGAGCAATGTTAGTTAGCTGACATACGGTAAGGCTGGAAAAGAGCTAACGGTGGTCAAACCAAAACATGGCACCATTCAATGAAATCTACAACAGTTAGTCTAAGCCATTCATGTAGGAAAGTATAGACTTCCGGGTTGGGGTCCTCGGGACGGTAAAAACAAATGGTTGGAAACAGTTGGTGACGTTTCTCAAAATCGTTCTCAGTGGCGCAGATGCATCCACTCCTTGTGACTTATGATCTCCAATGAAACTGTTTTGTTCTTCGTTATTACTCCTTTGTCTCACACCTCTGCTTGCTGTCTGTATTATGCATTGCTTGTACTTTCTTCTCTTGCTTTGTGTGCTACACGGAGTGTGGCGACTTGAACTGCCGCACACTTGTGCGAAGTTCTATGTCGAAAACAGACAGACTGATCGGAAAGGTTGTGAGTGAAAATTGCACTAGTTGTCAACAGTGTATTTACTGGGAGTTTAGGTGACATGAAAGATGAAGTTAACCTATAGAAGCCACTAAATGAAATAACAGGTAAAATACATTCAAGCACTTTCTAAACAAAATGATTTTAAATGTAAACTTAATCTTTCAAATAACTAAAGTCATATTTCTTACACAGGCGGTGTATATATAGACTGATTGTCAATGGTTTATTGGTTGAATACACACCAGTCACACGCGTGTTCTGTAGTCGATCCCGGCGGATGCACTCCTAAGCTTTGCTTAGTCGGCAGTAAGCTAGCTAAAGAGGGAAGGTGGAGTGGGAGGCCAGCAACCCACTCTGTAAAATAATATACCCCAATGCTACTGAAACTTTAGGAAAAACTCAAGATTGAAGTTGTATGTTCCACTCGAAAGGTAAAGGAAAAGAGAAATAATAATGTCGGCTGAATCCCTTACATTATTTGATCTCCGAGAAGGAAAAAATGCACATAAATGGACTTGAATCAATGGTTTTTATCATATTTTCAAAATTAATAATATAAATATGTGAAAACTTATGGTGCGATTGATGCTGTCCAATAGCTATTAACAACTTATGATGAGAGTGAACATGTCATTTCTGTCCTACTTGCAACTTTAGTCTGTGTATCCTTGAGATATTACAAAAAGAGTTATATAATTATCTTATAGTTAAAAATTATTTTGCATTTTTTCAGCTGTTTATAAAAATACCAGCAATAACCTTTCACCTCTGTTGTCAATCTACATTGCATATATAAGTCCCCCAACTAACCGTACAACTTTGAAGTGAAATTACGAAAAGAGATCTCTATGCTAATTCATGTTCTCTTAAAATATATAACAATATAATGCGAGGCGTAGAAATTGAATACAGAACTGGAAAGAAAAATTGTGATAGACATAATACCACATCTATATAACAAAGCCTACCGATCTGAACTAAAACGAAAGAGAGGGAACTTAGTGACTGAGGGCATTTATGCACACTACACACTGCTGATTGCAACATCAGATGAACTAAATTTTATCAGAATGCTACAAACGCCTTCATTATTTACCTCATACATCTTCTCCTCCATAAACTCAGTTACGATTTGTATTGAGTTTGAATTTTGACATGAGTCACTTAAATCCTACCGACTGACTTTGATCTTGTTAACTGGCTGGTAACATACACCTTCATTTACTGTTGGAGAGCTCACAACTAACTACAAATAAAAAGCTGATACCCGAACTATGAATTCCCTTATATGTTTTAAACAGTTTTTGACTTAACATATAATGCAATTAGGTTGCCAGAATCAAGTTTATTTACATACTACGCTGAGGAACACGTCGTATGAAGGAGTATAATATTATCTGGTCGCCTACATCAAACTAAGTAAAGGTGGGTTCGAAACCAAAACCGACCGTTTCACAGTCGAATGATTAGACAAATGGAGAGCATGCTTCAATGATTAAGTCCGGAAATTTATATATATATATATATATATATATATATATATATATATATATATGTTACACTGCAAGCTTAAGCTTATTTCAGGTTTACTCCTTTGGAATTTTCGCGATACTATGGACACTGATCTTTACACATATGCACCTGTGAATATACATGAAGTGGACGACAACTAGTAATTAAGCAGTTTCGAAGTCGGCTAAGGTGTTCAGCATATTACGATGAATTATATGATCAGCAGTTCGATAACAAAATAGTAAGTGCGCTAGACTCTTCAAAAAAAAACTAGAAGCAAAAACAAGGAATAAGAAGACAGGAAAAATGAAAAACTAACCGTATACACTTCCAATGAATCCTTATCTACTGATATGGATGATAGAGGATTAGGAGATGTCAAGTCATATTCATGATATTTATCGATTCTTTCTCGTTGTTTGGTAAAATCAGTACGAAGATAATCTGTAGAGCAGAAGAAGCAATAGAGGAAATCATCAAGATGAATTTTGTGACCTGAATGTGACGAGAAACAGAATAGTTCTTTGTGAATCACATATGACAATAATATTGAAACTAGGGCATGCAGTGCTTAGTAGTTACGTCCATAAAGCATTGGTGATCTACCAATATCATCGAGAAGAGAGATTTCCACACTCACTACAGCAAGCCTGACAGAATACTGCAGAAACCTATGGAGTTCCTTGATTGTTGAGAAGTGTTTTCTACCTTTTAATTCATTAGTGAACCCTATCCAGTTGTTTACAGTTTTCGACTTACGATCAGGTTTCTGACAGATATCAACAGGACGAAATCACCGAAACGAAAATGCCTTCACTGTTGGTTAGGAGAAACACAGAGTTAAACCAATGTTATTCGGATTGGAACGCTAGGCATTTACTTTCAGCGGAACGAACTTGTTCAGGAATGCCACCAAATAACCCTACAGGTATTGCAAAAACATATGACCTTGCTTACTGTACACGCATGAGAGACGATATTCGAAAGCATGCTGTCGCCTAGTCATAGTGCCAATTGAGTCCAGTACATATGATTGCCAATGCAATCGACGTCGGTAAAATGAATGATAATCTCTCCTCAAAAAAATCCAGTGGTAATCTACGCCTGTTGGTGATGAGAGAGCATGCCATGCGTCGAATAAATACCGTAGTGATTCCAAATTAACAGTAACAGAGGCAGTAATGAAACGAATTGTTAAGCTTAAGAGGAAAAACATTAATTTTGCATGACTACAGAGCCCAGGTGACATTTGCTTGAGGCCGGTCACACAGGGTCCGCTTGCAGATATGGTTTTTGAAGAATCATCTGTATAGAAGACTTCACCAACTAAAGACTGCCATAGGTGTAGCCGGAAAGTATTTCTTTAGATAAGATCTATTCTAAACCCTCTGAGCCGAAAGGGAGCGAAGCTGATTTGCTGGTTGTTCGAAGGGACACACCATGCAGCTGCCACACTCTTTTCTGCTAGAAGTGCGTTGACCTGTGACACTCACAATACACCAAGTGATTAAAACTATAATGGGAACTTGCTTCAGTTCAACCGCTAACCCACAGATCTTCCTGCCACTAGAAGATCTGTTCGAACATTTAATTTAACCGTTGGAGTTTATTGGCTCATTTTGATATGCATACCCGGCTACCACGTTGAATTAGCAGCTATCCAGTCGGTACTAGGCTGGAAAATGAAACTAAACGCAGTGTTAGACATACTACAATAATCACACTATTTGACCAGTGAACCTTTAACAGTACCAATATGAAGAATTTCATGCTGAAAATATACTGATGAGTAATCTGTGTAAATTTTAATGCTTTACTAATCAAAACCATAATTTTAAAATAACTACAGTTACACTTACCCTCATACAAATTCCTTAATGATGTATTTGTTGTGGTCTGAGATAATGAAAGACTGTTCGAGTAGATTTGTTCAGAATCTGGTTTCGATTTCGTCAACTGACCAACTGCTATTGGAGGCTTTCGTTTCTGACGCTTTGACGTACTCATTAGGTAAGAATAACTTGTAGAACAACCTTTACTCTCACCATTATGATCGATTGAACGCCTTAACTTCGATGGAGAAAGATCAGAGTCGGTTGATATACGTAAGATATCTACACCAGGTGGAAAGATGTTAATACAATTTTCCATCGATTCCTCGTCATCACTGGGATAAAATTAAAGATAATAGGAAATTAGGCATTGTGTAATAGTCAGTTGAGATTAAAAACGATTTACAGGATAAGAGACAGGCAAGAAACTAGTAATGGCTTTATGCTACACAACAAGTATTTCATTATCTGCAAACAAATGCCTACATCATGCCCGCCTCCCTTGACGGGCATTACTAGCTGATATAGGTGCAGGTTGGAAAAGGGTAAGTGGTGGCCAAACAAAAACATGTCATCAATCCATGAAATCCTTGACAGTTAAACTGAGTCCGGGTTGGGGCCCTCGAGACTCTAGGAATCAATGGCTGGAGACAATAGGTGACATGGCTCAAAATCATTGTCAATGGCGCAGATGTATTCAGTCTCTGTAATCTTTCATATTCCTCTCTACCATTACCCATTCTGTTTCGCTCTTATACCTGTCAAACTCTATTGATTCTCTCCACTCATATTCTTGTCTACCTTTGTGTGCTATTTGGAACGTGGCAACTCGAACTGCTGCACTTTGGTGCCAAGTTGTATGTTGAATCCAGACAGACAGATAGACATCATAAGAGACTGATCATGTACTTATAGTACATCTTATAAAATGTGATATCGGTAGCCTAAATTTTGCAGGCCAACCGTAGATATCAGGTGTGCGTCACAAATACTGCTGATTGTTGACAAAGCTAGTCAACAAGTAAGCAGGTATATGTTAGGACACTCATTAACTGTACTCTTCTGCGTGCAAACCACTTAATTTTATGTGGTCTTCAGTACACTACGGCAATTAACGCAAAATGGAACATAGAAGAATATTTACAATTGGAAGAGAATGAACAGAAAGACTAACAATTGTTTGGTGAGGAAATGACAGAGAATCTAGTTACCTATCTATGCTGGATTCATCTTCATCGTCGTCTTCATCATCACCACCATCATCGCCGAGTTTTTTTCCATTTTCCCCAGGTTTTTTCTTCTTAGTATTTATTGACAATTGGCTTTTCCCACTTTTCCATTTTTTTGTTTTATTTACTTCTGTTTTATTTGAATGATCAAGTGTTTCATTAGCGGAGGAATTGTCGTGGTGCATTTTGCATAATATACTGTTTCGTCTAGTTGTCCAATCAAAATTTGACATATCAGTGAAACTAGGAAATGAATGTGTAGCGCATATTGAATGTCCTAAATCCATAGGCATCGCTGATATTGTAGGACAGGTGAATTGAGTAGTCTGTTGTTTTTCAGGAGTATTATTTGAACATATTCGATTGCACAGTGGTACATCTTTGATATGGAAAAATACATAGATGGGTAAAAAGATGTGGTTACATTCTAATAATTTTCAGTGTGTATAGACGTAAAATGATAGGAAGCCATTATACAGGAAGTCGACAATTCAGAATACATATGTAACTTGGTAACATCACGCAATAAAAATCTTGCATTCGAATGTTTTATAGCATACTGAATACAAGATGAAGGCAAACAAACCTTTTGAATGAAGTCTAGGAGTCATTTAATTTCATTGTGAAATACACAAAAGTCAATGTTCGGCTAGACGAGTAAAGTTGATGGTCAAGTTCACTAACTGAACAGAAAAATCTGTCTTAAATCGATCGCCACAGAGTCGAACTAACAGACGAAAAATTCATACTAGTCTACTTAGTATCGAATATATATATATATATATTACTGTTTAATCTGACTTCATCAGTCACATTTCACAGTGGCACTATAGCAATTTTAGAAGTATTGTATTAAGTGTAAATGCTTATGTTAATAAACCATACATTCAAGATCAGTACAAATAATATGGTCTATGATCTGGATACTTATAACTACAAAAAATACTTTTTTTCCATTGCTTAGGACGCACAGTTTAGTCTACCAACGTGATGACTACTCTATATTTCTACCTGGTGAGTAAAAGAAAAACGATATGAGAAGGTCAATGAAGTAAAGCTAATGCAAAATCATATGAGGCCAACATTTATTTCGTTGAATTCTGTTCACCTGCCTACAACTTGCAAGCATCAAGATGATTTTCGTTAACAGAGACAAATTAAAGTTTAAAAAAAAAGAATCCTATCAAGTTTCTCCATTTAGCGATATAACAGTACACACAAAAATTGAAAAGTCTTGAAATAAAGAAAAATGTGTATAGAGGAAAAATCTAATAAATAAAAAAAAACCGGTATGAATGATTACGAAAACTTAGTGCATCTGGGCTACTAGTAAAAACCTTTAACCATCTAAATAAGTATGCCTCAACCACTAAAATTAACATTTTGACTATTCCAATAAACAAACCATACCTTATTCAGAGAGAAAACTTGCTGTCGAAAACTTCATAAGATGACAATGTTCTAAGTTCACTACGCTAACGTCAAAACATCTACATAGCTGGTCTATGAGAAGAAATCATCTAACTGATCCAACCGTTAAAACTGGCTGTTTGTTTCAAACCTCTAGTCAGTCAAAAAGAGCAGATTGTTTCAAATAGACAAATATTTGAACTAATTAGCCAACTATGTAGACGAGATTTGTACCAACAGTCCAAGAAGAAATATAAGCCTACAAAATCTTTCAAAGTGCACATTAAATTACAACTAGAATATCATTATAAGGGTCACTTTGAAAAATACCAGCATACAGAATACTTCCTCCATCAATGCGACTTGTACATCAAGAAAACCCAGTTAATTTCGATAATAGCACGTAAGCGAATATGACATCTTGACATACTTTTGTACTGAAATATTGAAATGGAAACCTTTAGAAAAATACTTACTTGATGAATGGGAAGATATTATATGTTCATCAGTACGATGTTCTACAATAAGTTCAGCTGAACGAATTTGTGAATTTGGAAAACGATCCAAGCGAACATAGGATGATAGTTTATAAAATTCATGGAACCAGTCAACTCTTTAAAAATAATAAACAAGGAGACAACACTTATAAACAGACACATTGTATCACTTTCTGTAAATAATTACTTATTTTATTAAAAATAGTTCTGTTTCTGACAATATTTAGGGATTAAAAAAAGGCTGAATCATTTACAACAAAAAGATTTGAAGCATCAGTTAGCAGTATTATTCTCCCATAGATGCCTCCACTCCAGATGGCCTGCCAGAAATGATGAACAACAAAGCTTTTTTTATTTATTACTCTGGAAACACATAAACCAAAAACTTATCATCCAAAAACTATGCAGAATGAAATGGAAATAGATTGGACACACTCTGAGGAAACTTTTGAGTTATATAACATGCCAAGCGCTTCAGTGGAATCCAGATGGGGGAAGACGAATTCGCCTTTCAAAGATGACATGGAGCAGGTAGTGTGAGAAGGAAACTGAAGTTAATCAGCATCCGTAGAGTCAAAATGAAACATGCAGAAAACACAGTGAAATGAAGATGTGCAACTGAAGCCATATATTCTAATCGAAACCCTAACGAATAATAAATAATCTACGATAGTGACTAGCTATGATTAGTGAGGTCAAAGAGGTTGGGTGGAATAACAGTTAATTGTATATGATATTAGAAAACTGCACTATGAACTCTCACAAATGTGACCTTTGGATTGGAATCCAAAGGTTCAGTGAATAAATGTGCTTGCTGAGATATCGTGAGTGATCACTTCTACAGAATGTTAAAACTATAGAGAAACAGCTATCAACTACACACAATATAAAAAGCATTTCTACTTGGTTGATAATGATGTCAGTTTCGTCTAATCTACTTATAATAGTACGAAAGACAACTTCACTAGGATTGGAGGTATCATAAAGATTTTGTCGAAATTTTTTCTGATATAATCAGAAGTGTCTTGCGGTTTGTTAATCAATAATTCTTTGAAAGTTGACGAAAATGTAATAGAAACATGTCAATGATACGCTATACTGATTATCATAATGGGATATCTTTTATAACGCATTGTTTGTTGACCTCACACATGTAACAATATTAGACACTACAGCTAAGATTTTACGCTATATAACGACACATGATTTTCGCTGTCAACAGATTTCATTTAATGAACGAAATATTCTCATATTGAGTCAGTTAGTGATTAGTCTCATTTAGTAATCTAAAAAATACATTAAACTCAGTAATTTTTTCTAGTTATGATAGTTGTTATTTTGACAACTGATGACTAGCAGTGGACCTATTTATGACTCGTTAGGTGGATGTACCTGTATCTCCAGTGAGTGTTTTTATCCCCAATGAATGAAGGCTTAAAGTCTCAGCGGACACATCGGGATCCAAGGAAATCCAGCTATCCAGTCCCAAAAAGGACAAGATGTGCATCCTGGATTCCTCTGCAAGTCACCAAAGACCAAAATAAAACCATGTTAGTCTTCAGACACCGTCGTAAAGTCCGTACTAGAAGCCGATATATTAACAGAGGCATAACATTTAGAAGCAATATAACTAATCAACGAGAAAGGCAAATTAACCTGAACACAGATGATAGTTATAATATGAAAAGATTATGAACAATTTGAGCAGTATAACGATGAATTTGATTGGTATAGAGAATTAATAGCTAACTGTGCTAGTATTTTCAATCATCAAGACCTGGAACGGAAAATAATTTTACCAGCTTAAGCTTTGAAAATACTTATCAGTTAATTCTTATCCAGAGAAAGAAACTACATCTGATAACAAATCGAAACTGTAACCGCGAAACAATTGGAAATTGAAAATATTGTTTATTCAAACGTAAATTAGTTTTTTGATACAAGTTTATCAGCTTCACGATAACTGAGGAACCATGTACCAATTCATACACTTAATCGTGAAACATATTTATCTTAGGAAGGTGGATAATTCCGGATAGATGAAAGCGGATTATAACTTCGGGTCGACTAATTCAGATTCTTATATTCAGACAAGTGAACTATTAAAGAGAATAGAATAGCTTTAAATAAATTAAAATATGACGACTTGAAACAATTGCTGGGTTAATCTCAATTGTTATGAACTTATTATGTAAAAAAATCCATCTACAGCTTCTGTTGAATTATTTCTATTACTCACCTTATATCATTAGAGGGTAAAACAAGACATTGTTCAGAAAAATCGTTCGCTTTTTGTTTTATATCCATTCCTCTAGGTAAACATTGCAAAAGATCACGTGGACACCAATCAGTGAGTGGTAAGCGATGAATAGGTAATCGTGACCAAGCATCTAACCAATGCAAATAAGCGTCACTACACATATCCCATATACAACCAGATAAGGAAGCGGCAACAGTAGCTAGAAGTTGATCTGTATCCGAATGGAAGGTTGCCAACTTGTCTTGCAATTGATAAGACGACTTTAAACTTTCATTTAAATAATACCTTGGTATCAAATGTTCCTTTATAAAATCATACAGTGTACCAGACCAAAGATTAGGGCGAAACACGCGTAGGAATACACTTATTGCGCATTGTTTTTCCCAATCGGAAAATTTGTTTGAGTAATATCTACATTTGAACATAAAATTACAAGCATACAATTAAAAAACGAGAATAAAAACAGACTTATGAATAAAGTTGTAGTAAAATGCATCGTTTCAACTACAGACAGCAAAAATGAAAATGTCACAACCAACCAGTATCAGGAAAACACGACAGGAGTCCATTATTCTTAAATAAGAGTTGACATCTTCAGGACTCAACACAATGAACAAGCTCCGAATTTTCAACACTAATGTCAAGTCAATGCTTTTATACGCTTCAGAGACTTAGTGCGAGCTTCATCAAGAGCATTTCCAAAAGTCTACTACAAACTTTTACCAGTAGATACCGCCGATGGCTTCATACTGAATATCAGATGGCCAGCTGGATAAAGTAAGCGACGAAGGACCCTAACAACCAACAACCTACTGCCAAAAATATGCAGAAAGAAATGGCAATGAATCGGACACGTTCTGAAAGGTTCTACAAATGGAATCACACGCGAATCCCTCCAGTGTAGTTCTGATGGGAAGTGATGAGCTAAGCTTCTAAGGGTGTCAGCTAGATAATCATGTGAAGAGTATTACTTTAGCCAGTTGAAAATGAAGACAGGGAAACGTGTTCAATGAAGATGTGCATTTGAAGTCTTATGTTTCACTCAGAAGGGAATGAATAGTAATAATAATAATGATAATAAAATGCAACTTACGATTCACATGTAAGTTTGTGAACTAAAGGATTAATGATTTCTAATGTATATAGTCCAATGATATTACTTTAATACGTAGAACTCCAAAAATCAATCTAATTTCAAATTCTCATCCATCCACTTTACCTAATATTTAAATTTTATCTTTTGAACACTAAAATTCATTTAACTAAATTATTACTTCTTAGTTGATTGGTAATAACAAGTGACTGTTATTATATGACTAGAGACACATTTGGCTAGCAGATGTTCACCATATTAGTGATAAAAACTCCAAAAACCAAACTTTAGAAAGAATAATATTCATCACATCACACCTGAGTAGTGCTATAAATCGAGGAACATAAATGAGTATAACATCTTAGATACTACGAGTTCCTCACAAAATGCTAAAGTGATAAGTGAAAACGTGTAACTGGCTTCGATCGTGAACATCCTATCCTTGTTTACTGTTTAGTGCATCATATTAACACCTACAGATTTATAATAACCCTCCTTTTAAATCAGTTTTCACACATAAATAGGGTACAGGGGAATACTCTGCTTAATTATCGCTTCAATTCATTTTTACACATTTCCAGTCAGAATGATGAAAAGATGTGATTCCACTTCCCAGTCAGACGATACATTTCAACACATTAAATCTATTTGCTTTATATTTCAAAACTAAGTGATAATGAATACTCATACTAAAATATATTTTATTTACAAATAGTATAGTTGAATGCAAGCATCAATTTTATTTTATATCTATCAAAACGTCTATCTATACGTATGTTTCGAAAATGTAACAGAGTACTGTGATTGCAAAGGATGAACTCTGGAATCAACTGTTATGTGGATTACAGATTCGCATATTATAATGATGATTTCTTTCCTACTTCCTTACTGGTATTGTAGGACAATGACCATAATCATCATAACTTTCTAATTGCATGGAGGATTTCACCATGAGCTGACATCAGTTAGAGAACCACTGGAAAACCTGGGAGTACTGGACAGCTATTTCGTCCTAGTTTTGGGCTCTTCAGCAGTACGCACCCACCGCCAGGGTTCGAGCCCTGGACCTTCTGTTTACAAGGCGAGCTCGTAGACCATTGAGCCACTGGGACCCGATCCAATGGTCCTTGAATTCTAACTTCTGCCAATTCACGATATAGCGCGACCGCTTCGCAATGTCTTCTTCGATGAGTTACTGCCTCATCTTCAACCTGCTTTACCCTACTGGTCACGGAAGCCGTGCTATATCGTGAACTGGCAGAAGTTAGAATTCAAGGACCATTGGATCGGGTCCCAGTGGCTCAATGGTCTACGAGCTCGCCTTGTAAACAGAAGGTCCAGGGCTCGAACCCTGGCGGTGGGTGCGTACTGCTGAAGAGCCCAAAGCTAGGACGAAATAGCTGTCCAGTACTCCCAGGTTTTCCAGTGGTTCTCTAATTGATGTCAGCTCATGGTGAAATCCTCCATGCAATCAAACAAAATCCCTACATAACCAATACTTGAAAATAACTTTCTGAGTCTTGTGTTAATGTGGAAGCAAGCCAGTTCATCAAGTCGACCGAGTGGCTTTCAGTTAACCGCCTTTATATATTCATTTTTAACTGCAATCAAACAGTATTACACGACTGGACGAGTTGCTTAATCCTCAACTACCACACTAGATAAAAGAGAGCGATAAAATATTATGATATTTTATCCCTGCCTTGTTATTATCACATCTTTTCCGCTGTCGTTGATTCTCAACAGTATCACCTAGAATTCTGAATCCAAGCTTCTGGTGACCATTCGGAATCTTACCACGATATCTTCATGAATTTCCACAATTCACTTTAATTGGCAGCTGAAGGGGAATCATTTCAATCATTTACACATGGCAGAAAATAGAAAGCGCATCTAATCCAGTGTAGTTTGTATTCTAGCCATTTTATTATGGCTTTATAGCTGTTAAACACATGGCGGAGTGATGGTTTACTTGTTTAGATATTCAACTTTGAATCTTTCACTTGCAAACGAACAATACCACATACCGCAAGACACTGCAAGTGTTTTACAACTCAGCTTAGTACATTGGCTTGGTTTTAACACGACAATCCATATCTTAACGATTTAGCTTCACATTTAACACTTCAACAGGTTATACAGTCACTGGAATTGATAAAACTAAGTGTATATCATATGTAAAAAGAAAGGTATTGACAATCTTTTTGATATTACAATTAGGAGTTATAAATTTATACACAAAGCAGTCGCCAACTTACCGAGATAATGTTTGAACAAAATCTCGAGAATGACTAGAAAGTTTCTTTGTCTTGCGATATGTGTTTATATTATGCACCAATTGACTACCACCATACTGTAGGGCTAATGTATCTCCATGTTCATCATATAACTCCTATGAATAAATGAACGAGTTCGAAGAAAAAAAACAACAGAAAGATAATTACTATATACAAATTGATAACTGCTATAAGACAACCGAATGAAAAGCACACAGCTGACTGGTGGAGATATACATGGAATTTAGCACATTGTACCTGTTCATAGCAGTGAACGTTTTAATGGAAAAATATCAGAAAGATGCTAAGCAGATCACACGGCCCAACTTGTATATCTTTGTTTTGAAAGATAGTGATAATTAAAAATCCCATCTCATGTAGTAGAGAAGTATGCAATGAGATTAATGGAATGCATAAAATATTTCAGATGAAGCATGTGTTTGCCATGATTTAAAAGTGGGTGACGCTGTGAAGGTAGTACAGTAGTCCGACTAAGGCTAATGATACGTCTTTCCGATAACCACCGGTAATCACCAACCCTAGATTCAAGGTTGACAACTGACTGATTTTGCATACACTTGAAGCACCCAGTTTTAAAATGTAACATTAGTGTCTTACAAAAGGCTTTCCTGATTCGCCTTCTATATATTGACAAAAATCATAGCCGTATATATGTGACCATAAAAAACTATGTAAAATTAATAAATAACTTTACATAGAACACTGAGTATTTTAAAATAAAACTCTTATCCATAAACATGAATGAGTTTTGTTGAAATCACCCGGTTCACAGTCATACATGTTGAATAGATCGCATAATAATGATAGCGATAATAATAATAATAATAAAGTAAATATGTACCACTCAGAACTCAAGGGAATAATAATATCCCAAAGAGTAAATTTGATACAATGTGGAATTCTCAGCACGTAGTACTGTGGTAGTGTGATACAGTCAATGGGTTCCAACGGAATATTATTTTCACAGTAAGAATCATTCTACATGTTGGTGATAACGTCTGAATACAATTCCAACAGTTCAATACTGCACTAGCAACAAAATATTATATGTATTTGAACACACACTCAATGATTGGTTAAAGAATATAAACTGTAGAGATATTAATAGTGGTTTGATCACTTGAGAATATACCTTGGTTTCTGTGTCTTGTCTTCTGCTGTTACAGTAATATAAACATGTACATATATTAGCCAGGAAACAGATTATGCTGGTGTCCAGTAAACTTCAGAGTGTTATTTCTTAATTGGGTGGTCCATTAGCTTTTTAGTTTTTTGATTTCAAATTCCTCGTTACTTGCATAAAATACGAATTTAATATGTAATAAAAAGATGTATCCCCTTGTTTCATGAAGTTGTTATTCATCACATGAAATAAATTTTATTTCACGATGAATAACGAAGTTCTTTTTTTTTTAAATAACACAGGATATATTTAAGATATATCAAAGGGAATATATTTTTCGTCCATTGAAAAATGGCTTATGAACTCGTTTCAATTAGCAGCTTGAATGAAACACCTCAAAAATAACCACATTTTATTTCATAGATTTGAATTACTCAGTGTTAGAGATATAAAAAGATAATATGAAGCTTACATAAACACAAAGAGTCTCTTAGTAGTGAGCAACTAATGTGTACATTTATTTCTTATAAACATGAGTATAGTGCAAAACCAGCGAGGCAAAGGTCTCTTTCGGCTAGAATTTATACAGACAATGAACTAAGTTCGAATGACAAGTTAACACACGCTTACATGAATGAAAAGATGCGAATCACGTACACAGCCAGTGAAATTACGCTTTTCTTTCAGCCTACTTATGAGTAGTTCGGTGACTTTCATTCAGAAAAAGGGAAAACACGCTCTTCGTGAGCCACCATATTTTCCAAAGTATTTCTCTTTTAAGTGTTGGTTCGTAGGGATTTGATTGGTTTCAGGATTTCACCATGAGCTGACATTAGTTAGAGAACCATTGGAAAACCTGGGAGTACTGGACAGCTGTTTCGTCCTAATTCTCTTTTATTCAATTGATGAACAATCTTGTTTCCAAACCACGATTTGCTAAAATTAACCTGTAAGAAATGGGCGTATTAATTTAAATCAATGTGGCATTCATTTCTTGCCTTCCGAGTGAAACGCAGGACTCGGCAACCTATATCGATTGTATTCTGTTCGCCGCTATCACTTTCAGCTGGTTATACTACTGCTCACAAGCATACATTTCATCTTCGCATAATCCCCACATACGGCCAACTTGTCGCTTCCCATCCAGGTTTTACTAGACGGTCTAGCTTGTGTTGTCATTCAATGGTCTACACAGTGTATGTCCAAATAATATCCATTTCCTTCTGAATAGTTATTTAGTGATAGGTTCCTGAATGATTGGCTACCAAAGTCCTCGGTTGCTTATTCTTTCTCGCTGGCGATCTGACCTTCAGTGCTAAGAAAAGGCAGCCGGTGATCAAAGTCTGCAGTAGTTTGTTGGGAATGCTTTTGCTGGCGCGCGCCCCAAGACTCTGAACCGTATGGTACTCCTGACTTGACATTAGAATTGAATATCTGAATTTTATTCCTAATGTAGATTTCCGCTCCGATTTTAGATTATAAAATGCCTGTTTCTCCTTCCCTAACTGTTCCTGGCCTGCTCTGACATAATCATCTGTGTCACCTGTAGATCAGACGATACCTCTCAGGTAGGTGAAAAGACGATTTCCTTAAGATGTTTCCCATCATTAGTGACTGATGGCCTTCGTGTATATTCATCACTTTTACCTTCCATAGATTTATCTAAAGTTCTGTCTGGGACGACTTTTTGTCAACTTGCTGTTTTTCATCACTTTTTGTTAAACCTTCTCTGTTTATCTACTTCCTTCATGGGAATAGGAACAAGTGATATCCAGTTGATGATGAGCCGCATCTATTGTGTAAGAGCTGATAATGTTGCCTGGTTGCCCAAACCACGTTAGACAAAGCGGAGTTTGAACCTGTGACTCAGTGGTTGGTAAGTGAAAGCCACAAATCCGCAACCTCCCTAATACTTTAATAGGACATAGTTTTATCAATTTTTAAGCCCTTATCTATTGAGCTACTCTGAGTATTCATTTTTATAACCACACCGTTATCGCTATTCCTATTATCACACATTTTTCTACAGTCCATCATCGTTATTAATAATTCTACTATTACTAAATGCACAGATTACAGCTATCTTAACGTGTTGTTGACACATTACCATGATTGAAAGTTATGTATCATAGTGGTAATAAAACGAACGGTGACATTTTCAGATCTACGCCAAGGTACAGCATAGATAAATTCAGGTCAATTCTGGCGTTTCGCTTAAAATCATTTTCTCTCAGATTTAGAGAGTCAGATGGATCTAACCAGAACAGTAAAAATTGATCTAAATACACATTGATATGAATGTATATGTAAACACCTAGTAATTTAAATTGAAAAGCATGTCTACTTACAACAATTCAAACTATACCAAAATTAAATCAACAGTATTATCGAATAGTCAGTTCGTGTATAAGAAACTTAGGTACGTTGCTGTTAAATAACTGACTGACTGAGTACTCAGCTATATAACGGAACCACTAGTCAGTTTGAATTCAGCTGAGCTGTATTACCCACTCCCAATTCGATATTGCCTTATTCAATGTATCAGTCTATACTAGGGCTACCTAGAATCCTATACAACACAGAAAATATAACCTGGGGAATTCTATTGAAACCTTCCAGTTCCATTTATCCTAATTTGCTTGATCTATAGACTTCAATCTTCGCCCACCATGGACTACATGACCTTTTAAATATGACTGGTCATTAGTATGTACTTTTGTTTTTTATTTAACTGAGTAATTGTCATGAACTTAATATTATTATTGTTAACCATGTTAGTTGTAAAGCGGTTGTAAAGAAACTTCGAAATCATATCATCTCGCGAAATTTGTCTTCTTATTATTATTATTCACATTTATCAAAGGGACTAATTGTTTTAATAATCTATATACATTGTTTTAAAATTTGTATCTCACTTGCAGTAAGCGATCAATTTGTGAATTATCCATAAAATCCGGTTCAGCTAAAAAGCCTAAACCGTACAATTGATAGCCAAGAACAACTCGACCAATCACAAATTGGGCTGTATTCGTCCGATCTAAACAATCAACACAATTTACTCGAATTATTCCGTATTGATTGGAGCTAAAATAAAAGCAAAAGAAACCCATATAAAACGTGGATAACATCATTGTTGTTCACTATAGACAAAAGTTTCATTTCACCGAAAGTGTGAACCACATGAACATTTCAAATAATTTCATGGTGTTGTTTGAAACAACCTTCTTGTTCATAGGATCCCAATAAATGAAACTACTGAGATCATTTGTCAGCAGTCTGATATTCTCCCACTTCAAGAGTCGGAATTCAAACGCGTACTGCTAATGTGCACCGTGGATGTGCAATTCCAGTTTGACAACACTCTTTACCGCCATATAGATGGTGTAGCTATAGACACTTTACTTAGCCTTTTTTAGCAGATATCTTCATGCTAAACCTTGAGAAGACAAAGTTGAAGCATGCAATCGACAAAACAACTTATTGTCTGTATGTCGATGGCACATTTGTAGTGTGCAACAACGAAAGTCATGCTTCCCACCTACTCAGATTATTCACCGATACACGTACAAATATTGAATTTACTATGGAAGATGATAGGAAGTTACATTTCCTCGACATCGCCATATAACACCTGGAAGATAGTAGTATCCAGAGGTTAATTTACTGAAAGCCTACATGGAAAGGATAATACCTATATTTTAATACTTTTTGTCCTAATAGCTTTGAGCGAGCACTAGTCAAGACTCTATACTATAGAGCTAGAAGAATATGCTCTACAGAGAAATTGGAGGAAGAATTTATGTTTTTCGAAAAAATGTTGAAAAGCAACGGTTACCCTCAAAGGTTTATTAACAAGTACGAAAGATCTGAAGGCTCAGATGTCAAGAAAATCACAGTGAGAGGAAAGCCCATCTTCATTCAATTTGATTTCAAAGATGAAAATACAACAGCAGTTGCCAACTCCAACTGTATATACAATTTTACATCTATCTGCAGAAGCAGTTACATTAGAAGAACAGAAAGAAGGGCATATCTCGGATTTTCTGAACATGTACCAAAAAGCCTATATCTAAAGGGAACAATTGCTTTAAATAGTGCCATCGCTAGGCATCTCTTTGACACGGGTCATGAGGTGGATATCGCAAGATCATTCAAAATTATCAATAGACAAAAGAGTTCAGTTCTCCTTAAGTTTGCCGAAGCAATCTCTATCAAGCGCCTGAAACCCGATTTGTGCGTTCAGAAAGAAGCAGTTATCAGTCTTTCTTTGCCCTGGTAACTGGGTGTTTTCATCATCTCTTTCATCTGATTACGTAATACCGAAAGTTTCAATTGTATATGATAGTGTTTATTATTATTAGTGTTGTATGCATATATTGATTGACTGACTTTTGTTTAAAAATGAACTCTGTGCAAGTATGTTAAAATCGTTTCTGTGGATATACTTAATAATGTCTTTGGATTGTAAGCAGCTGATGAGAGGCCAACGGAATAAATGATGGTGCCATTTTATTCTGCAAAAACTGTTGCTCTTGCTTTATTGAAATTTATTAAGGGTAATAAAAGTATGAAAACAAAACAGCTGAAACAGTTATTCCTGAAGAATTCTAAAACTTACTTAAAACCGACTGTTCTATGTTTTTCAAATATCACATCTGAGATTGGTAAAGAAGCAGATGATGAAAAGTATATCCCAGTGCGACGTACACAATTATCAATGATTGGCTGCAATTCATTCAACACAACAGTACGTTTCATTTTTTGAACACGAGCAATATCGAATCCAATGTAGATGATAGGTGGACTACTATCAATTGTTTCCATAACAAAGGAATCAGATGAATTAGGTGGCCTTGAAATCCTGGAAGGTAAGAACTGAAATGAAAAATACATTTGAAAATAATGATAATTTCACGCAGAAACAGATATTATGAAAGTAGCACTTTAGGAGAATTTTTTTACAATACACTCCAGAAATTCAAAACAATTAGGCTCTTTAATAAACCTGGATAGGGGGGGGGGCTATTACGTGACAGAGTTTGCTGGTGTCAACCTAGCTTTTTAGTCTCTACTTTATAATATTACCAAGAGTAGTGTTACATCACATTTTGGAGATAAACCCATTCTTTTAATAACGCCATCCAAATACTTCGAAAACACTGCATTAGTGTGGTTAGAGGTTTATAGTCATCAGCGTGAATAATTAAGATACAGAATAAAATATGCGACGCCAACAAGCTTTAGATGTTTCTCCCGATATCGCTTAACACATACTTGACACAAGTAAAGGTTTATCATTATTATAATATTAACTGTTTCTTGGGAGATGAATGCTTCACTTGTAATATAAGTGACAAGAACACGATAAACATTTTATTTGTCCACTGGATTCCAATTAAAGAAAAATAACTCAGAAAGAGTTTAACCAGAAGTAGTCACTATTTTATTCATGATAAAACTTAAAGTCTTCCAAATGTCCACCTAGCTGAAACTGACACAAAAATGCATTTGTTCAAGTTGCCACATCTTAAGAAAAGCACTGATAAAAGTAAAGGAAAGAAATGTAATGAAATTACCATTAACGAAGATCTGTGGGAGAAATAACAATTAGGCGAAGGTTAATGAGCACTTACAGGTTCTGAAAGATTCCAAGGACTGAATACATTTATTCAAAAGAATAATAATTAGTCATGTTCATATCAATTGGTTCTTAGCATCCTGAACAACCCAACCAGGTAGTCTACACCTTTCCGTGTTGGAAAAACAAACAATCGTAGTCTTCACGCATGGATTCCGGATGTTGGTTTGACCATCTATAACACTTTCTCAGTCTAGTACTAGTTCACCCAACATTACATGTCAATGCACGCATGACATAGGTGCTAGCCATCTCAGTTGATGCAGCTTCACAAAATAGTCGACTGATTTTACTGTCTTATCCTACACCCTAGACCTTTCCTCATTATTACTGACAGGACAGCACCGCTGAACAAGAAAAATCGACTGCAAACACCTGCGCTTATAAACCAGTGACCTTTCCACATCTTCCACTATTAACATTCATATGGTCACTGTTTCAGTAAAAAAAGTCACTTCCTGTCAGCTGCCAAATATTTTACGTATCACTATCACTAGACTGTATTGTGATATTTTTAGTCTGTCTTAAGGTTAAACCCAGATATGTGGAATATGCTTACTACAAGCGCAACAGCATACTTTATCTCAATTGTAAATTAAAGTCCTAATCTTAAACGATATGGCTGTTCTATACTTTTGATTCAACAACTAATTATTTGACACCAACCTGAAATAAACAAAACATCCACAAGCTATTGATTTGAATCATATTACAACAGGGTGAAACCAAAATATGTATGCATTTCAAAATCAACAAGCCGTCGTGATGATTCAATGATTAAGGAGTGTAAACAGAAGTACGCTTCTAAATAATGACAAATGACTCAACTAAATAACCTACTAATTCCTTTTAAAATATAAATAAAATATACCATGATCGTTAACTTACCTGACTTAAATAAATAATTCCACGTTCATATCCACTAGAGAGTGTAGTTTCAAATTTTCTCTTCTCTCGTTTTTTCATCAGATTGAGTACAATTAATGGAGAACCATGACGTTTAAGTAAACTGGCAAAATGTAAACCCATTGATTCATAATATGGATCATCACGCTTGAAGAATATAATAAAGGAGTAGAACTTATTAGATGATGCTATCTTCAGTGGAACAATGGGTGGCATCTGGTTTTGTAAGGATTTCGATTAAATTCAAAGTAGATTTCGTCAAGAACCAACATTAGTTAGGGCATCATTGAAAACCACGGAGCGCTTGAGAGCTGTTTTGTTCTGGCTAGGACATCCACGAACCTGCCAGGGATCAAAATCGGAACTTTCAGGCTATGAGGTCAGGCTTGTTGACCATTCCAGCCAGTTAGGCTGGAATTCAATAACTCGTGAATTCTAACTCTAACATAACACTAATGAGTTTAGCACGTGGAAAGGGATTCAAAGACACGGTCTACTGCTTTTAAATACAAACATTTTTCAAGCATTACCAGGTTGAAACTCAGATAAAATGTATGAAAATAGAAGTATTACAAAAAATAAGCTAAAGTAAGCTATCGCATAAAGAATGCTGACATCTGTCAGTTTTAATAAAACTAGTATCAAAATATTATCAGCCCTTCAATACAGCTGGTGTGAAATATTCCTTTAAATAAGATTCCTATGTATCATGTTCGTCCTATAAAGTCTATTATTTATTTAAACGCATAAAAATTTGGTACAATATGTCACCAAGAAGGATGAGCCACACAATAATAATAAAACAACATAGATCAAAAAAAAGAAGGAAAATAAAAAAATATATAAGTAGAGAATGGATAAAGAACTTCATCTGGAAGGAAAACAGTCATGCTTAACAAGTTCAAACAGTATTCGTTAACTATCATCGGGAAGGGAAGAAAGAAGGAAATCGCAACAGGTGTAATAGCACGCGATAAGTTTCATTGATAGTTTGTTGCTTCATTCAATTCATTCATTTCGTCGTAATCATTGTGTGAGGGCTGAGATACTGCCCGGGCGCCTAGACCGACGCAGGTGGTTTTATTAAGGGACCGCCCCCCGAGCCTTTGACTTGGAGTCTCATCCGCAAGGCAGCGGAGCAGCGTCAGGAGCTGCATTCCCATGGTTGACGGTGACCCATATGGGCTCATACGCCATTTGATCCGATTGGATACTGGAGCCCATGTACCCCATGGTAACTGCTTTTAGTTTAACCGCTATCCAAACAACCTTCCTGACATGGTAGGACCTGCAGGGACAGAGTCCCAGTCAGTTTAGCATGTTGGGTCATTACGGTATTCAAGCCCGACCACCACGACAAGGCAGCAGTTATCGGCCGGGCCTATAAAGTCTATCAGATAGAGAACCATTTACCCTCAATTCGTCTACACAGTAAACTGACCTTAGTCATTCAGGAATAAACTGGACACCATTTCAAAGACAGTTAAAGAATTGCAAACACGAATGTTCAAAACTTGAAAGTTTCAGAAAGAGATTACCTCCATTGAGATCTGAACTTAAAGGTCATATAATGTGCCTTATTGTTTTCATTGTGTAATATTTCAATTGTCGGCATAGCCCATCCAGAACAATCGAATATAAGCGAAGTGACTGAATTCGTTCTCATCGTTTTAAGTATGGATATTGGTTTGACCCCTGGAAGTATATCTGTGCTCCAGAACTTATCGAAACATGAAAATATATTCAAAGTATTTCTACTTGGAAAGGAATACTTTCTGGTGCCTTGTATTCTGTTTCCCCCAATAGCACTCAATCTTTGCAGTACACTGGAACCTGAGATTATCTCAGAAAGATTTGCTTTCTTTCCTGTGAACTTGAATGGTTAAGGACCTACACCAGCATGATGAAAATATCTCGAAATCCTATATAAACATAGTAAACAGAAGAGGTCGTGCAGCTTTATTCATACGTTACCCATAGCGACTACCGCCTTCTTCAACGAACTAAGGTAGAACTAGCTTTAACAAATAATTTGTTCACACATTTGGTTTCCCTTGATAAATTTCGATAAAGAAAGGAAGACGAAATTTGCAGTATAAAATGATATCATTCTATTTCACAGGTTCTCATCAGCTGCAGACTACCTGAAATTACAATGGTTATATAGATGATAATAACATACTTTAATGTTTGAGTGGTGGTAAAGAAGAGATACTATAAAATTGGCGCATCTAAATGAAAGCATTACAATGTTTTTAGTTTAAGTTTTCATCATCAATTTATACGCTTTTAAAGTTGAAAAGAGGGGGAGGGGTAAGACAGAAAACAGAAAAAATTGATTAACAGAACAGTGTTAGCTTGTAGCTTGTTCACATAGCAACTCAAGAAACAAAAGCGGTTACAGTTTATGAGATTAAGATTTGTTCAGTGAGTTGAGATCACTGAATTAGATGACTAATCAAAATCAAAATTCTGTTACCAAGGGAGTGAGAGGTTAATCACACTCTCTTTCTGTATGCATAAGTCTGGTTTAAGTCTTTTGATTGCGATCGCTTCGGCAAATCGTAGTAAATTTGCTGTCCTTTGTCTATTTAATATTTTGAAGGACTTAGAAATCTCTACGAGATGTCCGGTATCAATAATGTGTCTGGTAATTGCACTCTGGGAATATCTGCTTCCTTTCAGGCACAGGTTTTTGGGAATATGTTCAGAAAACCGGATAGAAGCCCTTCTTTCTGTCCTTCCACTGTACTTGCTCCCGCAAGTGCACGTGAATTCATAAACGCAGTTGGAGGTGACATCAGCAGGGTATTTATCCAGTTTTGAGTGGATTAAAGAAGGATTATGAAACTCATCTGACAAAAGCGTTGGTGAAAGAGAAGCTAATTGAAGAATTCCCAGAAGCACCTGAACGCTACGTTTGTAACCTATCAAAATTACAATTAAACAAAATCGAATTAGAAGCCTTATCTCTAGGATTCAAGTTTCACGTCCCCAAGAAGCACATCAGTCGTATAGACACAGAAGCACAATTCGAGCACTTATACCATCAACTCTACGACCTGAAGCCCTTAGACGAAGATAAAAGAGGATGGCTAAAGTCTAAACTTGTTGATATTGCTAACCAATACCACATATCACCAATGGAGAAGCAGAAGATGCTGACCGAAGAGCATAGAATAGCTCTGAAGAAACTATATGAAAACGATGAAATCGTCATATTTAGACCTGACAAAGGCTCTGGGGTTGTTATAATGAACAAAGCTGATTATATACATAAAATGATGACAATTCTAAACGACAAAGAAAAATTCCAAGTAGACAACAAAAAAGATGCCACAACGTCATTTGAAAATAAAGTTAATAAATGTCTCAAAGAACTTCTAATGAAGAAACTAATCAACAGCGAAACATATAATAAACTGAAGTCAAAAGGTGGACGCCTGCCGTCTATGTACGGCCTACCAAAAATTCATAAAGCAAATGTGCCATTAAGACCAATCCTGTCAATGATTGACTCACCATGCCACAAGCTAGCTCGATGGTTAGCTGATTCTATAGAGCCCATTCGAATTAAATTTGCAACCCACAGCCTGAAGGATAGTTATCAATTTTCCAAGGAAGTTGACAATATTGACATATCAGACAAACTCATGGTATCATATGACATGACCTCCTTGTTTACAAACGTACCACTGATGGAAACAATTGATATCATTTGTAAACAAACGGATCTACTACCATTACCGGAAACAGAGATGAAGCGACTTCTACTGCTCTGCACAAAAGATATACAATTCAAATTCAACAATCAACTTTACCGACAAATCGATGGGGTCGCGATGGGTTCGCCTCTGGGACCTATCCTGGCTGATATCTTCATGGGCTACCTTGAGCAGACACAACTAAGTTCTGCTATCAATGGAACAACCTACTATCGCCGATATGTTGATGACACATTTGTTGTTTGCAACGATATGGATCACGCATCGGCATTATATGATCGCCTAAATGAGATCCATCCAAATATCAAATTCACCATGGAATATGAACATAATAATGAGTTCAATTTCCTGGATCTAAATGTAAAAAGAACAAACGAAGGCATGATCGAAAAGTCCATCTATAGAAAAGAAACCTGGACTGGACAATATCTTCACTATAACAGCTTTTGTCCCATAAGCTATAAACGTGGATTAGTGAGGACTTTGTACGACAGAGCCAGGAAGCTATGTTCACCAAACAAGGTCGAAGAAGAATTAGATTTCGTCGAGAAATGCCTAAGGGAAAATGGATACCCTAAGGGATTTATACAGAAGTATAGCAGAGAAAAAGATGAGAAAAAAAAGCATCCAACTGTAGAAAAGAAAAAAGTGTTTATTTGTCTCCCATTCAAAGGAGATGCAGTGTCACAAAAGATTGACAAAAGACTGAAAGGTGCAATAAATAGAAGCTTCCCGGCAGCAAAACTCATAACAGTATACAGCACCACTCCTTCTTTAATCCACTCAAAACTGGATAAATACCCTGCTGATGTCACCTCCAACTGCGTTTATGAATTCACGTGCACTTGCGGGAGCAAGTACATTGGAAGGACAGAAAGAAGGGCTTCTATCCGGTTTTCTGAACATATTCCAAAAAACCTGTGCCTGAAAGGAAGCAAATATTCTCAGAGTGCAATTACCAGACACATTATTGATACCGGACATCTCGTAGAGATTTCTAAGTCCTTCAAAATATTAAATAGACAAAGGACAGCAAATTTACTACGATTTGCCGAAGCGATCGCAATCAAAAGATTTAAACCAGACTTATGCATACAGAAAGAGAGTGTGATTAACCTCTCACTCCCTTGGTAACTGAATTTTGATTTTGATTAGTCATCTAATTCAGTGATCTCAACTCACTGAACAAATCTTAATCTCATAAACTGTAACCGCTTTTGTTTTTTGAGTTGCTATGTGAACCTACAAGCTAACACTGTTCTGTTAATCAATTTTTTCTGTTTTCTGTCTTACCCCTCCCCCTCTTTTCAACTTTAAAAGCGTATAAATTGATGATGAAAACTTAAACTAAAAAAATTGTAATGCTTTCATTTTGATGCGTCAATTTTATAGTATCTCTTCTCTACCACCACTCAAACATTAAAGTATGTTATTATCATCTATATAACCATTGTAATTTCAGGTAGTCTGCAGCTGATGAGAACCTGTGAAATAGAATGATATCATTTTATACTGCGAATTTCGTCTTCCTTTCTTTATCGAAATAATTTGTTGACTTAAAACTTACACACTAAATCGGTCAACATGAAAAATAAAAACCTAAAAAGAAATTTTAGCAATGTTAGTAAAGTGGTGAATAACTACTGTTTTATCACTAAATTCGTAAACTTACTAAAATTTCTAAAGGTGGTCTACCAACAACAACTTTAGAGGATTCTTGCGACCAAAATAATGGTACCGATCCACGCATTTGTACATAGGAAGAGACACGTCCATGACGAAGGAATGCATATGAAGTGTCATGTACTATTTGTTCTGTTTCCACCTAACAAAAATAATCACGAAAATATAAGCGCTAGCGACTGGGAGCCAAATATAAAATTAGACAGTTTCATTCGATTACAAAATGGCATTAGGCCTTACTTGAAGACTCAGATAATATACTCCATCTTGAAAATAAATTTAACTCTGAATACAATAACAAAATAGGTCTGCAAACCTTACAAAACAAAAGGCATGAATGAATCAAGAAAAAAAATAAGATATACAAACATCAGTTGGTAGTCGGTACACTATTTGTTTCCTCAGTTTTGTACTCGAACAATCCATTACAAATTTAAGTACTGGGTTATCTAATTCACTTTGAACAACTGAATAATGTCATAAGTTTTCGCTACAGGTCAGCGCATAAATTTGTATTTTACGAGTTGACACCAGTTGATTCGTATAGATTTTCTCTCTAACTGTTATTAACGCAGATGGTATCTACCTAAATAATAAAGGATTGCTCACTAACGACGTACGTGGTTCAGGGTTAGATTCCCAGTTGACATACTCCTAAACTCCCCCTAGTTTACCAGCTATCAGTAAGTCTGGAAAAGAAAGAAAGTTAGGGCTGAGGCTAGCAGTGTCATTCCATAATAGACAACACCGACACTGCTAATACTTCAAATACTTTAATGCTTGAGGCTTTATTTTCCACTAGTAAAGTAAAGGAATGGTTAAAGGTCACAATTAGTAAGCAACCCTATAAATGAAAGATAAATAAGCAGACATTTTCAATGAAATATTAAAGTACTGGAATACAATCCTTATATAAAGATAAAAATGAATATTGTCTAGCAATCTACAAGTAAGCGAGAATGTTTCCTTACTGAATAACAACTTTGAACAGCTTTTTATCATAGTTTAATCGATCTGATAAAAAAAAAGAGAAAGTCAAAATACAGATATATCCAGACGTTGGAGAAAGAAAAGATGCCTCCGAATGGCAAATCACACTAACAGGCAAAAAACATTTCTTATACTGATTAGAAAAGCCGTTATGCAGAATAACTTCAAAGGAAGCATATCGCTCGTTTTCAACAGTACATGTAGCACTGTTTAACGACATTGGTTACATAGATTTATGTGAAGTATTCAACCATATACTATGAGTAATATATGGTGACTTATTCTTGTTACATAGACATATCGGAATGCATCAGGACGACACTTAGATTAAAGTGATTGAGTGTCACATTAACAAATATTAAATGACTTTTTAAAGGCATTTATGTGTTGGTTGGAAACGAAAGATGCTAATTGTGGTTCCTTCGTAAGATTTCATTATTATATAATGTAGTGAGTACTGTTCACTGCTTTTACGATTGCTATTCCAACTCCATAATAATCGACTACTCATTATTTCAATATAATTTACAAAATAGGCACTCTTAAAGGTATTGATGAAAAGCACAGAATCCCTTACTTCATTTGCAACATCACCAACTAAATTAACTCCGCGTTTTAAAAATCGGCGTCCGGCAAAATGTCTTGACCTACGAGCAATAAGAGTAATCATAATTGGCATTCCACAAGCAGATAATGCTATTTGACTAACGCTACCATGAAACAATAGAGTAAACCATTCAGGTTGATCATTTACAGAAGTTACAGAATTACTTTTGAATGGTCGAAATTTTGGTGGAATCAATCTCCAATTCCAAACAAATTTATCATTAGGGATTGACTTTAATGTCACGAGATGATCACATTTTTGTTGTTCCGAAAGAAATGTCTGGAAAAGGAAAGAAATTAGAAAAGTGCTAGCATTATTTAGACACAGATATGTGCACCGAGGGCTATAGGCATACTGATCGACATGTAATCCACCATGAGCGTTTGTGATATGTCTGCTAAGTTTAGAATAGTCGGATCGTCCTAGCTTAATATGTCATAACAGGTGGGAAAAAGGTAGCGAATCACCCTTCTACCAATAAATTTGTTAAAGTGGAACGCGGAAAGTAATAATTATCATGACTTACACCTTTCTAAATAAAATTGTTCACTTATTTAACTGGCATACATTATGAAGATTTTCTCCAAGCAACCATAATCACGCAGAAAACTAGTGAACAATACAAACCACAGCAGAGCTGTTTCACAATAGTTTGAATCACTTTAGAAGCTCTTTTTATTGGGATTATGGGGAAATCCTGGCCCACTGTTAACTGGAAACTATCTTCATGATGGACTTCTCGAAATTATAATGAAAACTTGTGAGCATTAGGTCTGAAAAATGGAGTATGAGAATAGTTGCTTTCGAATGACATTGAATAGCACTTCAGACATACTGTGAATCGATAGTTTTCCACCTAATTAATACGTGAAGATTCGTAGTTTCAAACCCTATGCTAAATAAAACTCTGTCGTTCGACACCGGACCTCTGACATACTTGGCAATAAGAAAACCTATAATTTAATGAATTATTGTAATATTAAGGTTATTTAGGTCACAGTGAGTGACGTGGGATTTGTGACCCACTTCTTTCATTCAAACACTTATAAAGACGTGAGTAGCTACTCTTTCACTTTGGCTTACATAGATGTCATCTCCAGTGATTAACGTATTTGTCATGCAGACTGTAATTTAAAAAAGATAAAAATTTTCCCTCTGATTCAAGGTTATCGAAACTGGTCTATTTGGATACATAGCTGGTATACCCAGTAGAGAAAGGTAGCAACATCTCTCCAATAACGTATTTCACAGCGGCTAATAGTGGTACGGTAGCAAACCCCGTAAAAAGAGAAGGTTGTATGTAAGGTTAGGGGCTTCATCTCACAAAAAACACCACAACTACTGGAGCTAACTAACTAAATAACATAGATACAGTACATTGAGAAAACTTAAGAAATGATTCACAGGATGACTCTATAAAAAGGAATTAACATACACCATGACATGTAACTATTAGTTGTAATAAACTTACAGGTTCCAAATTGTATTGTAGACTATGAGATAAGTCATACGTGTAACTGAAGTAAAAATTACTGGCCAAATCCACACTACTGAATAACTTTAAATACCGTATTTCATCACCTGACAACTTTTTGCGTCCCATGGAACTTTTAATAAAATGAAACAATCCTGTTTGTTGTTCATCTTCGCTGGAACAAGTATTGACATCAAGATCTGTACTATTTAAGGAAGATTTCGAAGAGTAATGACTTTTGCGATTATTGCTTAAGTATCCACTTTCATCTGCAAAATCATTGCCAGGTATATAGATCATAGCAGTATCTTCAACCTTTATATTTTATACATAGAATAAATAAGAAACAATGAGAACGATTTCCAAGAAGTCAAGCCAGCTGACTTTAAATGAAAAAGTAGATTATAAAGTTGGACAAAGCTATTAGCATTAAATAGCGAAACGTCAGTAAAAACAATATCGTTTTGTTTTTCATTCATTGGGAAATACAAAAACCTTTATTGGAAGATTCACTTTAAAGTAGCAACAGTGGTGGTAACTCAAGAGTAGCTGCTGAATTAAACTCAACATTATCCGAGAAATCTTTAGTCATAATGATGAATTATTAATCTCGATTCAACAGTCTGTAGACGTAACCTGGGTTGCACAGTTCTATGCTGAAAAGTTAATAACCGTCAAAATATATTCATAGTGGGGTCGACGATAACAGAGATATACCTCAACAAAGCATAAGGATCAACTTATCTCTTTCAATAAATCAGTATGAAAGTCCAATTAAAGTGTGCAGCCCAATGAAGATCAAGAGTTTGATGCTACTCTTAGCAAGCACTAGCATAACCGGTTTACCAAAATCGCTATTCACTTCTCTTACACGAAAGTCGTGACTATAAACTATGCAGAAATTTGTCTTCCATAAATATCAGTTAGACGAGAACTAGCTAACTCGTCAATCGGTTGGCACAACAACATACAGTATGTCCTTTGATTACATTTAAGTCAGCTGTATATATGAATATAAAAAAATGAGTAACTCCGAAAAGTTAAAAACGTTATGTCAACTGACCTTACAAATTTGATGTTCACCTAACTGCGCAACTACTGAGTATTTAGTAATCAAAATAAGATAATAACCACGAAGAAATCGGATGACCCCAACAATTCCATGACATTTCGCAGCTAATACTAGAGAACGTCTGCTACTGCCAGTGTAAAGAGCTGAAGCAGCAGCTTGTTGTAAGTCTTTTGCATTGAAAGATAAGTCATTGGATATATCTGGATTAGGATTAACAGCCACGTTCTCATTAATTTTAGACATATGATCTTGAGGGCGACGTTTTGAAAAAAATGAACCAAAACGCGACCACTTAGGAGAATTTGATACGTCTGATTTATCATTAACAGCTTTTGACTGAAAACTCTAAAAGAAAAACATGACACTAATTCATGACTACGATTGTACGGAAATTAACTTTGCAATTATTGAAAAACTCCAGAGACCTCCAATATACAGATGATATACGTTGCATAATACCAAGGTGCTGAATGGTTCCCAACCTATATGTCATCAGAAAAAAAGCAATTAACTAAGACACTCTGGTGCGTCGGCAGTTCAGCATTAGAACACGCACCAACTACACATATGGACCGGGTTTGATCACTGGTCGACGAACTCCTAAAGCTGGCGGTAAAGCCACTTAAGAAGGAAGGTTGAGTGTGAGATTAGCAACCCCACTCCGTAAAGAGTGAACCCCACAGCTGCTGAAGCTTTGAAAGCTTAAGCCTGCAGCCATATGTTCTACCGGGAATGCAAACGAGAAAAACAGCGTAGCGATAACCGGAAATTGTCTGATGTTCTCTAGCCTTCTGTACTTCATCGATAACGTACTGTCACCAGCCTTGATGTTATCTTTAGCATTAATCTCATTAGTGAAGCTTTCATCTTCATCCTGAGATACAAATCTTCCCTATAACTACGTAGATTACAGTTAACGAGAATAGAAATGCTGACGTTTTGCTTATCCCCTGAGAACAAAAACTATATGTTAAAACTACTCTTAACTTTCTTCGTCTTTTAGTAGGCAGTTACTTTATTCTACTATATAAAAAGCTATACAGTGAATAACCCAAAACAGCTATCCTGTAAACTTTGTAGTCGAGAAATAGTAATGTTTTATCTTTTCCAGGTACTTGGAGAAAAAACACTACCTACTATCTGAGTAAAGTTAGCTTATAAACAAATCACACTTTCGAAAGCTTCCAAAGCATTATCAGGCTCAAGATGTATCGTTCATATGCTAAAAAGGGAAATTTCACAATATTAACCTCTGCACTCCAACGACGAAGCTCAGTAGAGTGACTGATGAATTAATGTGGAACTTTGAAAAAATAGTGCGTCGGTGGTATAGCGGTTAGCACGCTCGCCGACCATGCATATGGTCCGGGGTTCGATCCCCGGCCGGCGCACTCCTTTACTTCACTGAGCCAGAAATAATGCTGGTAAAGAGGAAAGGTTAGGCATGAGGCTAGCAACCCCATCCTGCAAAAGTTAAACACTGCTACAGAAACTTCAAGCCACTAGCTTGGAGCCCTATGTTCCACTGGGAACGTGAAGGAAAAATTATTATTATTATATTATTTGAAAAAATTGTTTTAATTCACCCTAGCACACTTTAAAAATGAAATAGAAAAATATGATCGAAAGGTGTAAATTTGTGTTATTAAAAACTATATTGAGATAATTCAGCGAAAAATCAAATATTGATTCTTGGAATTTCGAGGACAGTAATGAGGTAGTCTGTAACTTCATATGTAGTTTGGACAAATTGTCACTAACTTCATGAACTGACTAAATCTTTTGTCCTGACAACCCTTAACTATTTTCCCACCTAATTTTTTTTAAATTTCAGCTTCATTCCACATTATTTCGATACAACTATGGAATTTTCAACATGTAATATAGGTAGCGCAAATTTAACAGGCCGACCATTGATATCAGGTGTGCGTCGGCCAGGGATCGAACCCCCGACTATATACATGGTCGGTGAGCGTCCTGACCACTGTGCCACCAACGCATAATTAATATTAACCTTTAGGCAAGGCAGTGACTCGGTTTGCGTTACAGTCCGTCAACTGGTAATGCATAAAAAATGACATATAATTACTGCACAAACTGATTATCAATTGAATAAAAGCGAAATAATCACTGAATATGAAAGGCTAGAAAGATTCAATAAAAAGCAGTATGTTGTGTAAACCTCCAGTTGTGTGTACACTTTGTTTTAAGAACTAAGTGAATATTGTTTAAAAGCGTGAAACTTCTTCGTCCATGTAAAGAAAAATAAGTTCTGTAAATATTAATTTTAGTTGGTTACGGAACTTAGAAATACGAAACAAACATGGAGCAACTACACATAAGGACCCCTAATTGAGCTAATACGAGTTCAGATGATGCATTTTAAGCAATAATTTTTACCATAAGGCAATAATCCCATCAGGTTGCCCAGTCTAACGTGAAATTGAGATCTAAGTTAAAGCCAGATATTACTGTAAGGCACTTCACCACTTCGAAGTAATTTCACCTCATAATTCTTGCAGAAATACATCGACCACCGCGTAAGGATTATCTACATCAGCAAACATAACTTTGATAAATATTTTATGAGAAATATACCCGATTAGCTGCCTGAATGGTATGTAGCAACCGAGCCACTTCTGAATGTGAATAAATATGAGGATCCTCTATAATATTCAGACGCCATATTCGATCAACCAAAGTTTCTGCCTCAACAGTTGCTTCAGAACCAATGCGCTCCTTATCCATCCACAAAAGATCATCGCCCAGTGGAACAGGTGACCGATCGATTTTGAGAACTCGGAAATGGCGTTCCAAAGCATCAGAACCAATAAGGTAAATCTGGGAAGGCGTTTCATACACACTGATGTTTCTCATCCAATTTATGTACGGTACCTCCATAGCTAAACAAAAATGTATGAAAAAATTGGAGCAGTGGAGTATCATATCGAATAATTCAGTGTGTTTTTCATAAGTATGTTATGGAAAATTTCGATGGGAGACTGATTTTAATTTCGGATAAAGATGAGACCCCATAAGAACTATCTCCCTAATTTTAGAATGATATATACGTATGTATATGCAGTTAAACAGCTGTATTTACTTTAGCAGTAATTTAAAAGATAGCTTACCCCATTTATTTTAAGTGACAGTTTGAATACAGGCAGCTAAATGGGAGATCAGAATTCAAACAATTGCTCAGTTCAGCCTAATCGATCACCAACCTTCTACATAATGGGTATTAGGGGTGAAAACTGCTTAGTGTAATCAAACCATTCTTCAATACTATTCAAAGCTATTACAGGGCATTTATAGACGCTGTGATCCCATGGAAAACTCCATAATAAGCTGTCAAACCAAAAAACCATAATCTTGCTCAACCTAATTCAGTTCAAGTCCTACGTGGACAATAAATGTCTAACGTCTTAAACAGACAGTCTCATCGTTAAAAAGGTCACTTACCTACTTTACTACTACAAAATATATATTCAACAATTCCTTAACGCAGCTTGTCAATATATCCAAAATGTGTTAGAGTCGCACATCCGTATATGCTTCTACTTAAAAACTCAACCACACTTGTACGAAGAGTTAACACTAAATAGTTTTTTACACCTGAGTATTATTATTATATACTTTAATTCCTAGAGGAGCATAGGGCTTCAGCTGCGTGTCTCCATTGCCTTCGGTTTTCTGCCAACTTTTTCACTCCGCTCCAAGTCTGACCACGTGCTTTCATCTCCTCTTCACATGACCTCCTCCAAGTCACCCCCACACTGACGACCAACTCGCCGCTTCCCTTTCGGGTTCCACTCGAGCAATGGCTTGTCTAGTGATGTCACCTGATGGTTTCCTCAGTGTATGGCCAATCTATCTCCATTTCTTCCTGTCTATATGTTTCACAATCGGTTCCTTGTTGGTTGGCTCATTGCCAAAGATCCCTGTTGCTGATCTTTTCTGGCCGGCCATCTGATCTTGAGTATTGAGCGAAGACAACTGTTAATGGTCTGAAGTTTGTTGGAGATGCTCTTTATGACGCGCAGTGCAAGTCTCTGATCCGTATAGTAAGTAGCACTGACTTCACATTGGAGTTGAAAGTCCGGATCTTATACTCGTTTTGATGCTGAGTGATGTTGACCTCCACACAGACTTAAGGGTAATGAAAGCCTGTCTCGCTTTTCCGATTCTGGCTTTGATATCCTCGTCAGTTCCGCCTGTAGTTGAAACGATGCTTCCCAGGTAGGTGAAGGAGGTTGTTTCTTTCAGGTTCCTCCCATTTAAGCTGACTGTCATCTGTTGTTGTTGCTGTTGGTGTTGGCCAAGAATCTACATCATGTTCAGTTGAAGTCCTGTCTTTGATGCTTCTTCTGCCAACTTGTTGCTTTTGACTTGCATATCTTCCAGTTTGTGGGAAATCAGACATATATCATCGGCGAAGTCCACATCCTCCAAGATTTTGTGTGAGTCCATTTTATGCCTGTTCTCTCGTTGGTTGCCGTTGTCTGTCGCATTATCCGATCTACTGCAATCAGGAAGATCATTGGCGATAATAGACAGCCTTGCCTCACTCCCGTCCTCACTTTAAAGGCTTCTGTAAGTTTCCCCTTTGTGGATTCTTCGGTATACAGCATTATCATATAGCTGTTGGATGAGGTGTTTAATTGTCGGCGATACCCCGTAGTTGCGAAGTAGTTCCCAAATCACCTCTCGATCGACGCTGTCGAAGGCCTTTTCAAAGTCGATGAAGTTAAGATAGAGAGGTGACCGCCATTGCAAGCTTTGTTCAATGATGATCCGTAGTGTGGCGATTTGATCAATACATGACTTGTTTCTCCTGAATCCAGCTTGTTCAGGTCGGAGTTTTGCATCCAGGGCTTGTTTGGTTCTCTCCAGGATGATGCGGCTTAGTATTTTGCTTGGGATGGACAGGAGCATAATTCCACGCCAGTTAATTCCACACCTGAGTATGTAGAAAAATATTTATGCGTGTAACACTATTCCAAGGTTAAGTAACCACAGCTACTTCCTAGTCGAAATAAAATGGACGAATAATTAAATAGTGGATTAAGTGGGAATTTGGGCGAGTGGCAAGACTGATAATGTAATGGACAAATGCTGGTTAATAATCCAGGAAATACCAATTAAAACATAGCAATATATTGGTTTAGAAGTGTCAAAATACAGGTCTACTAATGGGTAAAACTGTAGTGTCCGTTAAATTTTTGGTCATCACAGGAAAGTTATGTTATATGACCGAAGACTGCCCGCCCATTTATGTCCGATTTGGATGCCCATTGTCTTAGGGGTCCATGACAAAAATGAATGCGTAGATTTGCTGCCTAAGTATCGGAATATATACTCTGACATTCGTATATTTGAATTAGGTCCCGGTCCAGATAAATGCAATAAAATCCGCAGAAAACCGTTTTGCCTTTATACATAATATCAAGTGTCTCTGAGTAGCAATACCCATAATGTATTACTTGCGCATGACTTCATGATTAAATTGCAATTTTAATTGCGTCTAGGGGTTGTTGACAAGGTCAACACAGGTTCGCTAACTGACCTTTACCCACCCAGTCATGTACCATCAAGAAAATCGATATAGGCAGGTATTGATTGGCTATTAGCTTCCTATCTGTCTAAAATATACGTCAAAGCGGTGATTTTTTTAATTTCCCATGGAAAGTAACGGGCAGTTGAATTAAAGACTTACTGCATTATAATGGCGTGGGAACTTTTTGGTGGGTCGTGTGATGAGTCACATGCTATTTGGATGTATTAGTGGTCTTTAAAGTACATTAAGATGTATAAGAAATTTTACTAGGTAAATATAATTCAACAATAATTTTGAGACATTTATTTTAAGTCCCAAAATAGCACTTATGCATTATTGCCTTACTTGGCGAATATATTTCAATCACAATATCTAAGCATTTAATCTATGCATTTGAATAGTATATATATATATATATATATATCTTCATTGATCCACTTTTTAAGCTGTTAGTCCAGTGACCTGTGTGACTTGTGCTTACTAGGTTAACATAATTCAACTAAAATTTACTGGGTCACAACAGCGGTATATTAGCACTGCGATACATATACTATTATTCATTTACTTGAAAGTATGGCGTTGTGTTCGTTAGGAGTTGTTGCGAAATACTCCTACTGCCTGTACTTCAAGGAATGTGTCATCTATATTGTCAGCTGATAGTGCCGTCTAGTTTGTATTGCCTCGTAATCGAGAACATCAGTATTCAATATTCAGATTTATAATTTATGGTAGATAGCTTCATGAGTGTGTTAACTATTTCCAGTTGAGTATTTGTGCCTTTTTATCTTTCACTGATTGTTAAAGGCTGATCCACAAGCGAAAAGTCAGCGAGGCGTTAGAAGTGAATACATGAGTAATACAATTCTGTCTAAGAACACCGATGTTATTCTTAATTATGGTGGTCTTTTGGAAAGTTAGTATGCTATAGGAAGTATCCATTCTCGGGGTTTACCTGGCAAGTTATTGAGGTCTACATGACATGTTAAAATTTCGCTTTCATACTTAAGCTGTCTCAAAATGCTTTGGTTATCTGCAACGAGCATCGCGGTAGTTTCGTTGATCCAAACTGTTGGTGTGCATGATAAATAAACGGCTATGAGAAGTACCTTGAGGTTAACCACTTTGTTCCGTTATCAAAGAAGATAGTTTGGGGTTGATCCTAACTGCACATCTCCTACATTCCAGGAATTTCTTGAGTTTATTGAGGAGATTGTCCTTGAATACAAAACCTTCAAGTCTCGTATATAATATAATTAGTATTTCGCTTGGAATAGACTGGAGCATAATTCTGTGCCAGTTTTTGCATTGACTTAAGTCTCCTTTCTTTGGTAGTTTCAATAAGTATCCTTTCTGCCAATCCTCAGGTACTTTGCCCTCTTTCCACACCTCCAGTAGTGGTGTCATGAAGTCCGCCGTTGTTTCTGGGTCCATTTTCAATGCTTCTACTGGGTTTCCATCAGGCCCTGCTAGTTTTCCAGCTTTTAGCACCTTGATTGCGCTCAGGACTTCTGTCCTCGTCGGGAGGTTGATGTTCACTGGTAGTTCTCCTTCCGTTGTTGGTATTGTTGGCGCGTTGTAGGTGGCGGTCGATTTAGAAGTCTTTTGAATTGTTCATTCCAGCGTTTTCTTTGCTCCACCTCTTTGATGACTGACTTTCCATTGTCAGACCACAATAATGCTGCAAGATAATTCTGAGCACATACTTTGAACCCACACTTCAGTTATCAGGAGAACTCTTTGGTGGTCACTCATACCTTTTTAAATTTTGATATCTCAGTTAGAGCTCTATTGTAGACCGTATACGAGCTGATAGCCACAAGATGGCTGAAATGTGAGAAATCATTAAGTAATAATAATTTATATTTCCATATAAACATATAAATTTACATGAAAATGCATGCCATTTTTACAGGCTCGATGAAGTATGACATGACATCAAATCGTAGATTGTCTACAAGTTAATGTTTCAACAGTTAAATATTTGATACATATAAATACGTTCATTGTCTGAACCAGGCCGTATGATTATTGAATTGTACAACTGTCCTCCAGGTTGCGCGGGAAGATCGACTTCGTTTCGTTTTCAACCCGTGTTTGTAGGCATACGATAACCAACCAATATTGAGGTAAGTACAACTTTAACAAGGGATTGAAAGCTGTTTTAGTAAAGTTAAAGTGCTATGGAGAATCATTAAAGTGTAATAAATTAAGTAAGTGCAATATATCATCAATAAATACATTTATATAGGAAACAGAATGGGGAAGTAATTAACCCCTAGGCCGACAACGTTCATTTGCAATGTATAAGCCTACCCATATAGTTCGTACTATTTTGATGTGCACTTTTGGCTTTAATACAATTATTTTCAAGCCAGTTGTTTTTATTTCATACCTTCTTGTCTATTTGGTGCACAACCGCACTTTACAGAGAATAGGAATTGAATAGGTCGAATCAAATTCATAAAGAGCTATAAAATGTTAGGTTTAATGGAATATAATGAGGACCAAGTAAAGACGTTATTAGAAAATAAATGAGATAAGACATTGTGAAGTGGTATTTAAAGATCCGATAATGGACAGCAAGTTAATTTATAAGATGCCCCATAAATCTGTGCAGATCCCACGTGGTCGCATCTCAACAATAGGCTGAGCGAATGGTATATATTTAAAGGTAGAAGCATGATCTGTCAAGGCGTTCATTATTATCTTTTTCAAGATAAAGATCTAAGCCCTCATAAAAATCAGAAATATCTCGAGCCATCAAATTGCATATTGCTGTTCCTGCAGAATGGGGCGATTCACCTTAGTGACCACCACCATATCTACTGATCAGCTAGCACCACCCTCCCTCCTTTTTTGATGTTAGGCTCTGAGACTATGATTATTATGGCTACCGCAAATATATTGCTTGGTACCAGACATGTTCGTACCCCATATTCCATCTCCCTAGCTTTCTTAATGAGTGCTTCCAATAGGTCTCCACGTACATCTTTATGAACATATTATATATGTATGCATGCATCCTAATGAACAGATTACTTTATAAGAAGTTAAAACTTTAAAGAGTAAAACGAATAGGTATTGTGAATAGTGGAGCAAGATTTAGCAGAAAACTATAGTTAAGGTTCAATTTAGGTAGTATGGACTGAAGGTAAGGTCGGTTGGCAATAGTAAGTGTACTAAATTATCATGACAGTCTTATATATAGTAAACATCTGACATTGCAAAGTAACGTGTCTAGACATATTATAAAAAGATATTAACACAGAACCAACAAAATTTTGGCATTTGGTTAACAATACTGCAGTGTGTGTATACTGAAGAATGGTAGTTAGTCTACAGGGAGCCGTAGAGTAAATCAAACCATATATGATAAGAGTATAATCAATATTATAATTCGTATTATCAAATAATACATAAGGCTCAATAATTGAGTGTTATAAGGGAAACAAGCGTGGTAAAGCAAGAGAACATTTGATGCATGAATATTTTAATATTTTAAGTATTTTAATGACAATCTAATTTAAGAATTGAACATGCATGATTGTTAAATATTATATTAGTATATACATATGTAAAACGTTAAAAGGTGTGGATGCTATTACAATTATTTCCAGTGTTACTTTTACCAACACAACTTAGTGAAAATTATAGAGAATAGAAATCAGTAAATTAGTTAACGTTCGCTGCGTGAGTATTAGAGTCGAGATATACGTATGTGACTATACTGAAGACTGGACTGGCCTTCAATTTCCGTTCTACCAACAGTTGTGGTCTTTTAGACGAGCTAGGGTGGACATGTTAAAGTGTCTTTCTAGGCTCCGTTTGAACCCATCAGGGTTTTCACAACATCTTATTTCAGGTGGTAGTTGGTTCCAAAGAGTGCAATATTTTATGGTGAAAAAGTTTGCCCTAATGGATTTTCTGTGGGTAGCCACCTTGACAAGGTAGTCGTGGTTTCGCAGCTGATATGATTTAATATTTTCCCACGTTATGGATGAGTTACTGTAGCAGTGAAGAGTAGAAATAGGTTGCACTTCACTCTCCTTAACCACAGAGGCTCTAATTTCAGACGTACACACCTGTCAACATATTCCACTTGTTGGTCGAACCCTATTATGCGTTTCGTGAGGAATCTCTGGACACTTTCGATTTTTTTTCTGTCTACAGTCCTGAGGTTACTAAATAGGAGAGCACAATATTCAAGTTTGGGACGGATACATGTCCTATATATAGCTAATCTTGCTTCTTGGGTGTAGAAGTTACGCAGTACAAAGCCAGTAAGTCGTTTACAGTCAGATACAACCTTGTTTGCATGATCGGAAAAGGATAAATCTGAGTATGTTATCCCGAGATCTGTGACTGTGTTCAGTTTTGAGAGGAGCTTACCGTACATATATAGGCACATTATCGGTTTCCAGCGTCCAAGGTGGGTTATACCGCACTTGTCTGGGTTGAAAGTCAGTTGCCACTTTTCGCTCCAATCGCCTAGATCGTTTAAGTCTTGTTGGATCTTGCTTTCGACGCTCATATCACCGTACCCATAATCATATACTATCTTGAGATCATCTGCAAAAAGATATGGCTTGCCATACTTGATTACAGAGACTATGTCATTTATAAATAAGAGGAATAAAATAGGGCCAACAACGCTACCTTGTATTACACCACTGGTTGTCGGCTTTGAGGAAGACAGCTGGTGGTTGATTTTGACTAAGTGCTCCTTTTCTGTGAGAAAAGAACTTATCCGTTTGAGAAGTTTTCCGGTTATTCCGTAGGATTGGAGTTTTGTTAGGAGTATGATAATGAAAAATTCTACGTTTTAGACCATCTATACTGACTGCACAAGTTATCAGTCAGCGTCCGCGAATTGTAAACTGCAGTTTCCTTAAAATTTTGAGCGACCCTAAACCAGAGGCTATAAGAATGACGCAGTGGTATCGAATATTCCAATATAACTGCTGGTCGGTGCGCCCTTCAATAAGGTATAACAAAGAGAGTCGAAGAAAGGGGATGAAGCAAGGGACCAGAGAAGAAAAAAATATGGGGACAATTATTTTTCTACAAATTTAATATATAGATATATACAAATGAATTTATAAATAAATAAATAAATTTATTCTCACAGTACAGTACATGAGGGACGCTAGTTTACAGGCATCATCAAATTGTTACAGAAATAGGACCATATTATTCAGTCAAATTTTACAATCGATAGCAAATTATGTGCTACATGTACGCTGGAGATTATATATACACTTGATATATGTTAATCCCAGTAGTATGAAACAGCCTTTTCACTTATGTACAGTCGTTTCTGCTCACAGTTGGAAAAATCTGCTAGATTATCAGTGAGTGCAACACATCAGGAAATACAGAAGTATTGTCTTCGCATTAGCGAAACAAGACCAGGTCTTTGGTGGATGGGTTATAAGTGCCTGGGAAAACAAATAAAGCTTGAATTCAATTTTCATATATAACTTTGCTGTGTGCAGAATCCTTGAATTATAGTTAATTGATGTGTTATTTTGAAATCAGTGATATGTTTATTTCATTTGATCTGCAATGTCATTGTTGGGAGTAAAATACATAAGCTTTAGACGCATTAATTAATGGATTTCTACTGCTTGTGGGTATTTACTTCTCGTGAGGATGGTTTTCGAATTTTAGTTGTTCCGACAGGAGTTGTGGATATTGACTGCTCAGCAACATTACGGATATAAGTTAATCACACTATCTTAAGAAAGTTGAGTTGAAGTTGGAGAGGTTTATATAGTGCCCAACGAGCGTACAAATTATTCATCAAATGTTTAAATCCAGTAAACCTATTGTTATGTACTCGTCGCCAAATTATTGTTATGGACTGGTCGAGAAACTAATAGTCCTGACGCAAGAAGGCGGAAATCAGAAGACCACTAGGTTTGCGATGATACTTCTATTTTCCAAACACAAGGAGAGGCAATAAGTGGTATCACACCAAAGTGGTAAGTCAGTAAGTGTAAGTCACACAAATTGTGAATGCGAAATATATATGACAAGGGTGTGAACAATCATTAGACAGTCTTAACATGAATGGCTAATTATAATGGAGTGTCGATCCAATTATACATAGCGAATATAGCAGACATGTCAACAACCACCATATATGGATATATGTCACTAAGCAACGGACTGTCAACAAACACTCATATTATATATAATATAATGGGAATATACATTGTTAAAGGAGACAGGTTCATACAAGTGAAATGGTCACAGACTAAGCGAGCAAACAGAAAGAGAGACCAACATACACACACATAAATATATATATGTGGATACCTTTCACGTATATTTATATATTTGAACAAGGCATTAAGAAGACAAATTTCCCGAGATGATATCATTTCGTAGTTTCTCTACAACCGCTTTACAACTAACATGGTTAACAATGATAAAATAAAGTTCATGAAAATTACTCAGTTAAATAAAAACAAAAGTACATACTAATGACCAATCATTTTTAGATAGGTCATGCAGTCCAGGGTAGGCGAAGATTGAAGTCTATTGATTTTTATACACACAGTTTAGGCTGTGTGTGATTAATCTAAAGTGCTTCCATCGCCTTCAATAACCTTGAATTAGAGTTATGTGAAATAATTGTGAAACAGTCATTAATATTTATTATGTGACCAGACATTAATAAGTGTTTTGCAATTGATGATGCTGGATTTCTATTAAGATTAATCGCGTTAGGATTTTCGATATGATTTACTAGCCATTTTGGAATATGTTCTTATCGACGACATAGGAACATTCTGTTAGTTCTACCTATATGGGTGTCACCACAGCTGTAGGTGAACTTGTAGATACCAGTTTTGTTTCTATCCAGTATAAACGTTCCCTAGTGAAATGTTTGTTCTCAAGGGCCCGAAAAATATGCACGAGTGACACACTGATGGATGAGCTTCGACATGCACATTCAGTTTTATTAGCTAATAGTTATCCGGAGAGCTTTATTGCTTGTCACAGCAAAGAAAAACCGCATCTCGAAAAGACAGCTTCTGTACCAAAGAAAGCCATCCTTATTAATCTACCATTCAAGGGCGACCAGATTATGCAGTTGACAACTCAAAGACTTCGATCAACCATCAAACGCACATTCTACGCTGCATCTCTTTTTCTCACTTGCCGAACATTTTCGATCCCTGTTCCTACGATTAAAGGACTAAATTCTGTGGACTCTACTTCAAACTTTATCTAAAAGTTCACCTACAGCTGTGGTGACACCCATATAGGTAGAACTAACAGAATGTTCCTATGTCGTCGATAAGAACATATTCCAAAATGGCTAGTAAATCATATCGAAAATCCTAACGCGATTAATCTTAATAGAAATCCAGCATCATCAATTGCAAAACACTTATTAATGTCTGGTCACATAATAAATATTAATGACTGTTTCACAATTATTTCACATAACTCTAATTCAAGGTTATTGAAGGCGATGGAAGCACTTTAGATTAATCACACACAGCCTAAACTGTGTGTATAAAAATCAATAGACTTCAATCTTCGCCTACCCTGGACTGCATGACCTATCTAAAAATGATTGGTCATTAGTATGTACTTTTGTTTTTATTTAACTGAGTAATTTTCATGAACTTTATTTTATCATTGTTAACCATGTTAGTTGTAAAGCGGTTGTAGAGAAACTACGAAATGATATCATCTCGGGAAATTTGTCTTCTTAATGCCTTGTTCAAATTTACCAAAAGCGACTAATCGTTTTAAGTATATTGACATGCCAGTTGACCTTTCGTATGTTTACATATCCAGTAACCTTAAGATAGTAGGTGTCTTCAATATGGTGTCAGAACTGTAGGTGTGCGTATCATATCCCATGTCTCAGAGAGCATGATCATCATGAAGTTGACGAGGAGTAATGTTTTAAAAGCTTCGATTCTTACTGTGCATGTCTACCTACGTAGACCGTAGCTTCTTCTTGTGAGAAGTATGCGTTCTGGGGTAAAAATTATCCTCTACCATTTTCAGAGTCTTCTTCATCGTGACGCATAATGACGGTCTCTTATCGAAACCGGGACTAAACCTTTTTGAATTTATATAAGGAGAGACTTTTGAGGACTATTTACCGCTAGTAATTTTGGAGTTTTCTGAGATACAATGATCCACTCCTCAAAAATAAATTTTTAGATTTTTCTCAACAGCTAACCCCCCCTCATAGAACTCTGTCTAGACCATGTCTTCAATGTTAATATATGCATGGGGAAAACTGTAGCTGAACAGGAACGGTCTTATCACGGAAACGTGGCGAAATAACACGAATACGTAAACACAAATGATAGTTTTATTTGCAGTCGGTAAGGTTGCTTGGGTTGTAGCTGTTTGCCTACCATTTTTCACGTCGTCTATGTACAAAGATGAGTCATATCTTCGACTTGTGACACTATGCTTCATAGTCTTCCTCTGCAGTTTCTGGCATACCTCAAGAAGAAGACGGGAAAGCGGAGATCACTGACGAAAATAAATTACCAAACAGATGACTGATTTTGCAAATGTATTCGTTGAGCTAAATAAGAGTATCTTAAACGCAGTGGACCCCACGTAATGAACCATGAGAAAAAAGATAAATTTACCTGAAAACACGTAGTTCATCACAAATATATAATATATAACTACAAAAGAATGTGGCCAGAGAAGAGAGGCGTGCCTACTTCATTGAGTAATGTGTGTTTGAAAACACTATGGAAACGTCACAGTTGACCCAGAGTGGTTTTCGGTGTCTCACTGAAGGCCTGTAGTGCCTCTAAGCTGTTTTATACTCTTTCAAGTACTGATGAGTACACCAACAGCGACATTTCATGTGCGCAGAAAGGGCTCATAGGGTTTCTGTATCCGATGTTCGACACTAATTCAGTCCTCATGGTTGTTTTTGTCTAAAACGTGGAATTAATCCGCTGGCTTAATGAATCGAGAGGGTCCTGTTTATGCAGGAACATACCGATGGTACAGGGATGGATAAGTTATTATATAAATTATACACATTTTGCTGTATGGTGAATTTACCGTTTGGTTGTCTTTCTGACATTAGAGTCAGTCGGAAAAGTCCGCTAGATAGTCTGTTTGTGTAACACAAAAAGAGATATGGAAATATTGTCTTCGCATTAGCAAAAACCCAGACATCGGATGAATGTAATACAAATATCCGGAGAAAATCTTGAAGGCAATTCTCCTATATAACTTTGTTGCGAACAGCATGGTGGCCCGTATAACCTACTAACCTGACTCGCAAATACGTGCGGAAGAGGGGTTTTGGTGTGTGGGAAGACGTGGAACAAAACAATTCCAACAGTGGTGTGAAAACGGGCAGTAATTTTGCTGGAAATATTACCAATAACAAAATTTATTATTGGGATTAAATTATTGAAATATAATTATGCTTTATTTGAGTGGATGAACGAAATCATCTGTGGACAGCTGCTGGAGGACAATCAGCTTAATTGTTCGTTCCGCGACTGTGTGCCCGTCACTGTCACCTTTCAAAGCAATGGGTATGCCGAGTAGGACAAAGAGTTGTGACGACTTCCGACTCTCGGTGTTTTCAGCTGATAGTTTAACCCTAATCTGTTGATGAAAGCGTTCCGTCACCCCATAGACATTGAGATGAAAGGATGTTATTCTGAAACTCGCACAATCGGTGAGTTTGTCTCATTCTAAGAATAGGCCACTTGCGAATGACGGCTATCCATTGGTCATCAAAGAACACGAGGGTCCGAATTTGGATTATATCTTCACAAGAAACCGCATGTGACTGTCTCGAAAGAAACATCCTCGAGGTTGTCGCTTCAGCTCAACAAGTATAACGTTCAGTACATCAGCATATCCAGATTATGGGAGGGGTCCAACCAGTTCTATGCGAACTTTGTCAAAGGGTGTGTCTGTAGTCGGGAAGATACCAATCGTACTTCATGTCTGTCTTATTACTTTAAACTTTAGACAAGCTATGTTGGTACGGGAGAAATTGCTTCCATTCTTGTTTATGCTGCTCTGACCGTAACAGAACGGCTGTAAGCCTGAGATTAGCTCAGATGATTGATTGTACCTTACTGGAGATGTTAATTTGATAAATTCTAGACTCGGGAGTACGATGGGTATTCATAGAAATGCCAAAATCCAGTGATTCCAGGACCTTTGTTATGATATATTGTAATTCCAAATAGTTTAAGACACATATAGAAGCTCACTTCCTGGCTCCTTAGGACGAAGAAGCTCCACAGGATGTATACCGCCAATATGATTTAGGGGGCTTGTGCTACCTACCACATCAAGAATTATCTATGTAGACCTCACATATCACCTATTTTTTCTGACTTTGCTCTAGCAGTCAAGATTATAACGGCCGTAAATTGCTAAAGCAGGAAATATGAGTGTTTCCAACAAGTCATTATTTTAGATGTGTTGCATGGGTAGTCGAACGTGAAATAGGCTGCAGAGAATGTCTACCAGGACACGACTGTGACTTGCCGCAATCTTTAATTCCTCAGCCGTGAATTCGGAAACCGAATATAAACTTGAATGAATTATTTTTTCATGATACATGAGTTGTAAGAGCTTCGTGAACCGTTATTCCCGACATCTGAAATATGCATTTAAAAACGTCTCTTGCGTAAAATACATAGGGTATTTAGAGGTTAGTCAGTAGTTAATTTCTTTGCTGGATGGCAACTGTTATACCATATTTACCTTGCATTCTTGTATATGTTTCAAGAAAACCTCTCAATTTCTCACTGGAGTTCTTATAGTCAGGTTAAGCCAATTTCTGTACATATACCCGTCAGGGTCATTATTCAACTCATTAGGTGGTTTCTTTTTAGGCTGTTATATATTCTAGATTCACCACCATGTTGTAACTGCACCGAGTAAAATGGTAGATAAAATTTAAAAATGCTACCATCAAAGAAATGTTATTTATGTTTGAACAAAGCAGGTAATTGATTTTGCTTCCTTAAAGGTCATCTCGCGTGCGGAGATTTTAACCTTGTGATGACTAGCAAGCGGGATAATACTAAACTTCAAAATGAACGACATCAACTCATAATTCAAGAGTTACTACGTGATGATGATAATAAGTATTGTGCAGACTGCGATGCCAAGGGTAAGAAATTCTTATTTTAATGTTAGTTAAGGTCCACGATGGGCGTCTTGGAACATCGGCGTTTTCCTATGCATAAGATGTGCCGGTATTCATCGTAATTTGGGAGTTCATATATCAAAAGTAAAATCAGTAAACCTTGACACATGGACTCCCATGCAACTGGCTGTAATGCAACGTTTTAAGATCATTTTCCTTTCTAGGTTATGAGGGATATGGGTAATAGCAAAGCCCGGGCAGTATATGAAGCAAATCTTCCAGATAATTTCAGAAGACCACAAACGGACTCAGCACTGGAGACTTTTATTCGGGCAAAGTATGAACAAAAGAGATATATAGCCCATGAATATGTCCCAAGTAAACCGGATGTCGATTCCTTGATGAAAGTAAGTTCTTTCTGTGGTTTTGTGTTCACTATTAATGTACGAACGGGAGAAATATATCACTAGATGAATGTAGAAAAAAACTTTGGTTTTAGTTGAGTTAAGTCGAGAAAATTGCTGGCGTTCGCCATGACTCAGGAAGAAATCACGGCTGTAGTAACAGAAGGTACTATTTGTATGCTAGTAGGCTCCAGTTTTGTAATTGTTTATTCGTTGTAAGAACATATAATAGACTGGTAATTCACATAGTCTCAGCACAAGTGCAAGGACCCTTTCCATATATTCCATATTCAGTCATTGGTGCGAGTGTGGTAATCTGAGTGTGTTTCGCCCAGCAATTCACCGACTTATTCTGATTGTCATACGTTGCTGTCGAATTTTATAAAAAACAGGGATTGGAGCTTTTTAGTCAGGTGTATTCTGCTATTTTCTTGCATTTACGGGGAAATATGGTAGGCAATAATTTTAGTTGTGGTGTTAGGTAGAAAGCTTAAACGCGACATGTGGTGTCAATATCCATGTTGGATCTAATATTGAAGATCAGCTTTCTGATAGTAAATAATAAATAAACAGACTGACTTCAAAAAGTAACAGATGGTTGAGGAAAATTGAGACTGACAGATATAGAGATGATGAAAGTTAAACAAGACTGATGTGAGAGTAACGGCAGTTGTGATGCCAGTAATTTAACTGACTCCATTTTCAACATGAAATTTCGCGAAAAGTCTAGAAGTCCAGAGTTGTCACACCATGAAAGCTTACATAAGAGTCAGGAAGAGAAAGAGAAATACAAAGCCTTTAATGAACGAGATTTCACGGCGATCTGTGAATCTGTGTTCAATCATGGCTTTCCAATTCTGCCAAGTTAAACCTCCATATTCCATTAGTCCTGGAGTCATTATTCGACCTCCCACTTTTGTAAAAACCCTAGACTACCTCGAGAAAGTGGTAAATGTGGTTTCCCTGGCAGAAACTATGAACATGCAGAACTATGTAATGTTCATAGTTTCTGCATTCTTTATTCTTTTGCGTACACCACTGCTTCTTTTAGTTATCATATATATATATATATATATATATATATATATATATGTAGGTCTCATCTGTCGTCAAGTGTCATTTGAACAAATTGTCCTTTGAATTATTTCGAGTTGAAAAAGAATCTTGAACCAAGTTTAGGTTACTGCTTTGAACCACCGTAATACTCTTCTACGAGTTTTTGTATCATCTGTGAAAGTCGAATCCTTTTTAAATGCACCTAAGAACTTAATTCTGATTGGCTATCGGAAGGAAGACATGTTTAGTCAATTTTGACTGCACGTTCTAATCTGAATCTTTACAAACCTGTCAGAACAGATAGCTGTGGTGTTAATTGACAATCTACGTATAACGGCGGCACAGGAAGTGTAACTGTTCAAGGCTAATCCTTGAGTTCATAAGGGAAATATTTAACCTATTGTTGTGGTCTTATTAATAATCTCTGCCTGTGTAAACATACTTTTGAATGTGCCACTCAAAAAGTTCGAAGTGATCAGGTCATATCAAAGCGATGAATTGAAACAGACTGGTATTAGAGGAAGTGATGTATAGAAAGCTCTAATAAATGTAATAGTTCATTGTTAAAAGGCTTGATAAACCTTTTTACTATAGAGAACATTCCTTAAATTTCTGAAACATTTTATGTTGCTTGATTCAAATTAGTTTACTTTGATTTAAATGTTCTTCGTACTTTCACTAGGAATTACAACGTCTCGAACTGGGTCAAAAGAAAAGATCTAGTGCTGTAAGTCTAGGACCAGCAATACAACAGCCTGTTAATAAGACTCATCAACCAAATAAGGAACCTTCGCTAAAAGTAAGCTGATTGTTTCCAGATTCACAATCGCTTGTTCATTGAAAAATGTTTGGATTGCCTTACCATAATTTTTGTTGCTTGTTCTTTAACAACTAACACGGGATTGTAATCTCGTGTCCATCTATTTTATGTTCGTTATACGGTCATTCTGTAGCCTTTATGAATCATATTGACCTGATTCTTTGTTAAATTTTTATGTGCTTGCAATCACGAACTTTTAAAAAAGTTTTAAATCGCACCCATGTTGTATTTAAGCTGATTACCTCGTATCGTGCTTTCTTGTAGACGTCTGAAGCAAACAGTGTGAATAGGACGAACAATGATTTCGACCTTTTGGGGCTTGATAATGCATCTAGCTCAGTAGATCAAAACGATCTATTTGATCAGTTGGGTTCTAATCAAGTAAATTATAGCAGTCAACACCAACCGTCGGCATCTGGGCAACAACAATCAGTTAGCGTACCAGTAGATATGGGTCATCAAGATGGGAAACCAAAAGTAAGTTCATCGTGTCTTCATTGTTTTAACACAACAGTCGTATGTAGTTTCTTTTTTGCTCTTTATCATGCATAGGTTATATCTAATTCTGCTTCTCAGTTGATTTAGAAAGTGATATGAACTTATGACCTCGTTTTTGGCCGTATTGGAAACCGTAAACATATACATTCTGTGTGTATGTACCCAAGGTGTTTTTGCGTTATGAGCGAACTGTAATTAAGTGATTGAGTGTTGGTACACATGTTCACTGTGTATATTTAGTTTTTGTTTAGTTAGTGTGTATGGGGTTGAAGTTATTCATATTAACTATTCTTTTAAACCAGCTTTCATTTACGCCATGTGAAGTATTAGTGACTAGTTTCAGAATTTCGGTTGTACTTATGAAAATCTTTCAAAAGTTATAAGCGTTTATTGGGTCGGTTTTAAGAATTTATGCATTTAGTTTTGTGTATTTTTTTATACGCTTTACACACTGAAAACTTAAAAAGTTATAGTACTTCAGTTTACTTTGAATCTAGTAGTAGTTTTGCTTGTAGCTGTAAAATGTTCATATCGTTTAAATAAATTCACTGCTTACTTTCTCATTTAGGTTGTTCCTTCTAGTTTGACATCCGATCTTCTGGGTTTAGACTTTGGAAGTAGTAGTTCGGAAGCTGAGAAACTTACAGCTCCTGCAAAAGACTCTTCGAGCTCGGCAACTAAGATCACTAAAGATTCAATCTTGGCTCTTTACCAGCAAAGTACACCGCAATCTGGGAACTTAGGATTCATGTCCTATTCAGGAAACATAGGACAATTTCCGACTCCTAATGTGTCAGGAAGTCAGTATTTTGGTTGCAATACGCCAACAGATCAGTCAATGCACAACAAAGGCTTTGGCAACTTAGGTAGGTTTCTTTTTCACGTCTGTATTGTCTGAGTGACTTTGAAATCTGGGATATGAGTAATCTTAGACAGATACTTATCTGTGGAAGAATTATTCATTATATTTTTCCCAGCAAAAGCTTCATAAGTCAGTTTACAACCTAAGAAACTTCTGGAAGCACAATTTTCAAAACTCACTTGCTTTGAGTCTAAGCGTTTTTCTTTGTCAGCACTGACTTTTTACACACCCATAGGGGATGAGCTGACTGGTAATATGAATCAACTTCACAAGCCTGGGTCTGAATAAGGTTAGTTGCTGATTATTGCCTACAGAGTATGTTCTGAGTAAGCTACGTGGGAGTTCTAGCAGTTTTTGAAGTGCCCTTTTGATTTCTCCAGAATTTACTGAAAATCAGTGTTCGGTTGAAATTGATAGTTGTAAAAGCATTGTAGTTCAAAATCGATCGGTATGGCTGGAATGTATCCATATCTTTCTTTCATACTTTAAGCTTTTTTCGTTTAGCAGAATTGGTGTTGATTTACCAGCGTACATCTTAAGTATTGTTTTCTTTTGATTCTATGTATGACTTTTGGTCAAATTTGTATTTATCTTCTTGCCTTTATTTTGACTAATCAATTAAATGGTTTCATTCGTGATTTATAGATTTATTTGTTTTTAGGTGATGCAAATATTCGACAGTCAGATTTTTCCACTAATAAGTTCGTATCATCAGGTATAAGTACATCTGCTGGTGGGAATAAAAACGCTATTGTTCCTCCTCAATTTCCTGTAAGTATAGTATACATTTAAACTGCTTAGTGGTCTTAACATCTGAATCTTGATTTATGGTTAAGTATGATTGATATTGTTCAATTGCATGTGGTAGTATCTGTGTATATATGACGCGTTGCAGGTGTTATAAAACTTTATTAAGTATTTGAAGTGTATGTTGACACATATATCATTGTGTTTTTTGTACAAAATTTTATTCTAAGTTGTACTTCATTTCATAATTGGAGGAAGCTCTTGTAGAGTTTTATTTTAACGTAGTCATTAATTCCAAACGCGTGTCAAAATGTAATCTCTTACATATTTATCCAAGAGTATCGTTAGCGAACATGACAAACACTCATGTTACGTGTTGCAAATATGATTTTGGCGATACTTGAAGATTTTAGTAAATGCTCTGAAGAGTTCTTTGAACACTTAATAGTCTTAAGAGATTTTGTTCCACACAGCTTGCAAATTTATTAAGGTTGTATTGAGTATCAGGTTCACGTCTCAGTAAGAACACCACCACTAACCACATAGCGTATTTATAGTTCTTAACATAATTGATTATTTGCTAGAAGAGTCACAAATTTCATTGCACTGTATAATATAATTCAAAAGTTTGGGAATTTTACAGCTGTAAATGCATATGCTTACATAATGGCGAAATTCCATTCATATTTTTTCCTATTTAAAAGATTATTGGGTTTATCGTTGGGTTTAAAGAAACGTCTTACGTTTCTACGTTTAAAATCCTACAAATGCTTTAGGAAGCGACTTTTCGTTCAGTGATAACTGATTTCTAAATAACTGACACACAAACAAAGTCTTCTTAAAAAAGTCAACAGACCATTTTTCCTCTGTTCAACTGCGGATAATATTATCTAGTCTGCTCATAATGATATCAAGTTCATATGACATGAGTATGAGCAATGGTCTGTGCTCGAAACGTGGCCATCAGTTAATATTACTGTATAACACTGTGTGATTTATCGAAATAAAACCTTATCCGTAATGCAGTTATACTCTACCACAGTGCACAAGTTTTATACTTATATCTACTGAAGGCCAGCTGGGAAGACAGCAGGACCAGACGCCATTCTCCTCCCGAAGCACTGAAGCCGGCCACAGAGATTATGGCAGATGTCCTCACTCCACTTCTGCAAAAGATTTGGAAAGAAGTAACGGTACCTACAGATTGGAAGAAGGGCTTGCTACCTCGTCGAGCTGCCAAAGAAGAGCCTGTGAAAGAAATGGCATGTAATCATGCTCTTGTCCACGCCAAGTAAAATACTAAGTCGCATCATCCTGGAGAGAATAAAAGATGCACTGGATACAGGACTCCACCAGCCGTGAACAAGATCTGCACTTCGGTGTCAAGTTCTATGTTGTGTCCTGAACAAGATGGCTGGATTCAGGAAGGGCAGGTCATATACTGATCAAATTGCAACTCTACGCATCGTCATCACAGAACAAAGCATAGAATTCCAGTCAAACCTCCCCCTACCTCAACTTCATCGACTTCGAGAAGGCCTTCATCAGACAGCATTGATCGCGAAGTGATTTGAAAACTACTTCAACACTACGGCGTGCAGTTCCCAAGTCCTTATCAACCTCATTCAACAGATGGTGATATGGCAGTGCCACATGTCAGGTGACTCAACTGAAAACTCGGCGGGGCATTCGAAGTGCATACAGGAGTAAGACAAGCTGGCCGCCTATTATCACGGATGATATTCCTAACCTCGATGGACTGGTTTATGCATCAGACTGTGAGTTAGCAGTGAGGAGGCAGGGATACGCTGGACGACCGATGAAAAGAATTTAGAGGATATGTATTTCGCAGGTGATTTGTGTTTAATGTCACACGAACTCGAAAACTGGCAGGTGAAGACTTACACACTGACTGAAGAAGCAGCGGAAACAGAACTACACAGGAAATTAGACAAGACAGTAACAACAGCTAGCACCAGTCACCATCAACGGGAGAGTTAACAGTGGTTATTTGCTTCACTTATTTAGGAAGTACAGTTTCAACCACAGACGGAACGGATGAAGATTTAAAAGCCACTCGAAATCGGGGGAGGCAAGATATGCCTTCATCAACCTGAAACCAGTTGGAAATCTGCTTTATTCAGTTTGCATGAGGAACAAGATCCGGATTTTTTTGGTGTTGGGTTGCTAACCCCATGCCCAACTCTGCCTCTTCACCCAGGCTTGGAATCGGCTAGAAAACTAGCGATCTAGTTAACTAGGCGAGGTAACAAATGTCCATATTACATCCTAATAAAATGCCTGTCAGTTGTTCTGAGTTTCGAGCTGAAAAATAATATTGGCGACTTACGATAAGTCGGAGGAAGCAGCATTCCCATACCATTTCTTTCGAACTCAAGGCACTCAGTATTTTGAGAAATCGCATTGTAAAACATCTTTTCGTATTTGATAAACTAAAATATCCATTGCAGGCGTATTAGGCAGAAATACGTTATTTCCTGTTGAAAGGAGTTCAAAATATAACGTTTCAGTCTGTTGCAGACTACCGTGGTTTGTTAATAAACACCAGGTTGTATTCCTTTCTGATACATTATCTCATAGAAAAAAAAAGGAAATGTTACTCAACGACGATTAACATTTCCATACTATGGCCGATGCTAATACTTGGCCACTGAGGCTTAGTTAGGGATGACGAAGTAGGTTTCGCATCCTTGACTCAGTAGTTAGTTGTCAAGCGCCTCGACAATCGAACCACTTCACTTCAATAGGGGTCGGATACTACACAGTGTTGGACATTTGAATTGTTGCTGATTAGTCTTGAAGAAATTGTGGTGAAAGTTTGTCTCGGTGTGAGATAGATAAGTATATGTTGTTATTTCCTTTGGTTCCGGGAAACATCTCCATTTCACCTACTTCTCTGCGTTCCATTTTAGCTGCCGATACGATTCTTTTATCAGCCTCCATCTCCTCGCACTTAGCACCCAGCTCGTTGTTTTCTGTTCGGGTTCCCCTTTACCACTTGATGTGTGATGTCTCTCAGCAGTCTTCTTACTGTGTATCCAATCCATCTCCATTTCTTCAAATTATTTGTTGAATAATAGGTTCTAGCTTGGTTCACAGAGTTCCTGATAGCGTCATCATATAGGTGCAAAATGAAGTTGATGAAGGTTTTGGGGCGCTACTTAGAATGTAAGTAGTTTCCAAGTTACTTTCCGTCAGCGCTGCCGAGGGCACCTTGAAAGTGTTTGAAGTTGAAATAGAGATTCGTATGCCACTCCATGCTCTATTTGGTGATGCGTATCGTTGCGATGTGATCCGCACATAATTTGCTTTCCCTATCCCCACCTTTTAACCAGCTGATTTTCGCATCCAAATCGTCTCTTAGTCTCTCTAGGATAACATGAGCTAATATTTTGCTTGATGGGGAGGAGAACAAAACTTCTCTCCAGTCATTGTGAAGGCCTAAATCACCCTTCTTTGGCAGTTTGACAAGCTATCTCTTCCTCCAATCTTCAAGTACGTTCCCATGCTTCTAAAATTTACGATGGTGATGGTAGTATGAAGAGATCCGCTGAGCTATATGGACCCGTTTACAGAGTTTCTGTTAAAGCGTCGATTTCCCACCTGCTTGAGACGTGACTTTCTGTTCAAGTGTTCTCAGGTCACTCTCACTTGTGTCCTGTTCTGATTCAGTCGCCAGTTAGTGTGTCGAAGGATTGTCTTTTGTCCCACCTAGTACTCTGCCTCACTTATATATTCAGTGCGATGTACATCGAACCCAACTTCTCCTTTCTCTGTCGCTCTTTGGATTGGTTTATCTTGTGTTTCAGCATCCCTCTCTCCTCTCTTCTATTAGCTTCCATGTGCCCGTAGAGCCATTTCTTGTCCTGCCTGTTCTTCCTTCTTAAGCCAGGTATTCAGGTTTCCTTCAACATCTCTTTCACTATCCCTGTCTACTGTCTCTACTTTGCATTTCTTCTACTTTATTCTCTGGCTTTGTGTGCTACATAGAGTGTGGCGACTTGAAATGCACATCGGTGCAAAGTTCTTTGTTGGAAACAGATAGACATCACTCACAGAGTTCCAGTGTTCTTCCACACAGTTTTTCTCAATGTTTCTGCATAATGTCTCTGACTCCGATTCGATGAATGCAGTGAAAACATCTCTCGGTTTCTGGGTGTTGAACCGGAATTGTGGTCTATCCACAGCTTCTTTGTAGGCTTTCAACTTCACTTTGACGGTCGCTTGCAGTTGAGAATGGTCTGAGGCCACGTCTACTCGCCTTCTCGATGTTATGTCCAGATGGCTGAGCATTCATTTTCTTGAGACAGATGAAGTCTATGTGGTTTTTGGTGTGGGGGACAGGTGACACACATGTTGCCCTTTTTCTTATCTCTATGGTCGTACATACTGTCTGCAATCACCGAAGAATTGAGTTCGCAGAAGTCCATAACCTGTTCTCCATACTCATAATTTTCATCGGGAAGCTTTCTCCACGTGGCGAGTCCTCTTCTTGTTTTGTTTTCGCACAGTTTACATTCATAGCCGCATTAGAAATTCGATGTAACCTTATGTGGTCTTTTTTTTAGTTTGCGATAGTCTGTAGAATTCGTCCTTCACGTGATCTGCGTTGATCATGGCCGGGTAGCATTGGATAATTGTAACTTCCTTTCCTTTCTAATTGAATCCTGCTGTCCACTTTCTTGAAAGAGATTGGCTACCACTGTATAATAGCCTTTTATGCTGTTGGTGACTCACTGATGACGGTAACTACTCCGTCAATATGGTTGTGTTTTGTGGTCCGAGTGACCACAGTGGATTATTGACTCTTTCATTATGCATTTGAAGTTTGTCTGTTTTCAATATAGAACTTTGCACTGATGTGTGGCAGTTCAAGTCGCCACACTCCATGTAACACACAAAGCCAGAGAAGAAAGTAGGAGAAATGCATAATAGAGACACTAAACAGAGGTGTGAGACAAAGGAGTAGTAATATCGAATAACAGTATAGATTCATTGGAAAT